TGTATACAAGAAGGAGTAATACCCACAAAATATTATGAAAAAACTACAGAGCAATTATCAGCAGCAGGAGGAAATAAACTTAATATAAATTATAAGCTTTCTAAAGGAAAAATCTGTAAAAATAAAATATGTTTTACCACATCATTTATATTAGTAAAAAATATAGGAAACAAAATAATTCTGGGAACTCCATTTTTAACATTATTATACCCTTGTGAAATTAATAGCACAGAAATTATTAGTAAAGTAATACCAGATAGAGAAATAAAATTTAAATTTTTACAACCACCAAAGATTAGAGAATTAAATTTAGTACAAGAAGCATCAATAACCAGGATAAACCAAATAGAAAGAAAACAAAAGCAAATTAATTTTATAAATAAAGAAATAAAATATAAAAGGATTGAAGAACAATTAAAGAATGAAAAAATTTAAAAAATTATACAAGACTTTGAAAAAAGAATTATAAAAGAAATTTGTAATCTAAATCCTATAGCATTTCACCATAGGAAGAAATATGAGATAGAGCTACCATATGAAGAAGGATTTGATGAAACAAATATACCTACAAAAGCTAGACCAATACAGATGAATGAAGAACAATTAAAATTTTGCAAACAGGAATTACAAGAATATCTAGAAAAAGGATTAATTAGACCTTCAAAATCACCCTGGAGTTGTATTGGGTTTTATGTAAATAAAGCCTCAGAACAAGAAAGAGGAGCTCCAAGACTAGTAATAAATTATAAACCTCTCAATAAGGTATTAAAATGGATTAGATATCCTATACCTAATAAACAAGATTTAATTAAAAGATTAATTAATGCCAATATATTCTCAAAATTTGATATGAAATCAGGATATTACCAAATATCTGTAAAAGAACAAGATAGATACAAAACAACTTTTGTAATACCATTTGGGCATTTTGAATGGAATGTAATGCCCTAAGGTCTAAAAAATGCTCCAAGTGAATTTCAAGAAATTATGAACAATATATTTTACCCATATATGAATTTCTCAATAGTTTATTTAGATGATGTATTAATCTTTTCAAAAGGAATTAATCAGCATATACAACATTTAAATAAATTTATAGAACTAATTAAACAAAATGGATTATGTGTTTCAGCTAAGAAAATAAAAAATTTTCAAGATAAAATTAGATTTTTAGGATTTAATATTTATCAAGGTACAATAACACCTATACAAAGATCCATAGAATTTGCAGATAAATTTTCAGATCAACTAAAAGAAAAAACTCAATTACAAAGGTTTTTAGGGTGTTTAAATTATGTGGCAGACTTTTTACCAAATATTAGAACAATATGCGCTCCTTTATATAAGCGTCTTAGGAAGAATCCCCAACCATGGGATGAAGAGATGACTAGAATAGTCCAACAGGTAAAAGTTTTAGTTAAAAATCTCCCTTGCCTAGGAATATCAGATCCTTCAGCCTATTTAATTGTAAAAACAGATGCCTCAGATTTAGGATATGGGGGAATTCTTAAACAAAAATTACCAGATTCCAAGACAGAACAAGTTATAAGATATTATTCAGGAGTATGGCATCCTGCACAGCAAAAGTATTCTACTGTTAAAAAAGAAATTTTAAGCATTGTTTTATGCATACAAAAATTTCAAGATGATTTATTCAATAAAAGGTTTTTAGTAAGAACAGACTGTAAAGCAGCTCCTTCTATTCTACAAAAAGATGTTCAAAATTTAGTATAAAAACATATCTTCGCTAGATGGCAAGCATTATTATCTAATTTTGATTTTGAAATACAACATATAAAAGGGGAAAAGAACTTTTTACCAGATTATTTAACAAGAGAATTTTTACAGGAAAAATGTCAAAAATGGCCAGTGCCAACTATACCCTACCAAAAAAGAGTGATCCAGAAATACCAAAAATCCCTACCAGAGATAAAGGTAAAAAGCCAATGACTTGCTTACAGGTATTACAAAATAAAGCTTAGATCCAACCACCAGAGTTAACCAAACAATATACAGTTTTAGCTAAGCCAGGCCAAAATTCCCAAACAGTTACTACCCAAACTAGAAAGTTACCATCATGAGCAGAATCTGCTTACAAAAAACCCACAATAACTGATAAGACTCCAGAGTATTTTGAAAAGCCATATGGCCTTCCCATAATAGAAATAGAAGCAGAATGGTTTAAATTAAACCGTTCTGAAATAGCAAAAAGAGTGTTCCCTCAAGATTGTCATGTAGTTCCATCATCATCAGAACAAAAAAGAGAGTTCTATGAGTTAATCCTTATTGATTCAAAATCAATAGAATTAACCCATAAAAGAAATGAGAAAAAAGAAATCATGTTTTCAAAATTCAAAATTTGTCAATACTCACTCCAAAAAAGTGGGGACAACACTTATACTGTTACCGAAAGTTTACAATAGAATATCAGCCTCCACAATACAATTATTTTGACTATATAAAAGCATGGAAGAAATTTATATTTCTTCGACCAGATACCCACTCCTGGTTCATTTGGTTCAGGAAAGGGATTTCCTTATATTTTCCAAAATGGTTCTCAGCTTGGTTCCATAATTTTGGGCCAGTTAATCAGATTCTACCAGAAAAGAGCCGAAATTGCCTTAGCCCATTTCAAAGAAAAAACTAATTTTCAAGAGCCATATAAATTCATTTCCTTTATAGCTTCACAAGGTATTTCATGGATTATGATGTGGCAGTATGACTCTGCCAAATTAGAATATGATGCATCAATACAATTGTTGATCAGGACCATAAAAGTGAAGTGATGGGTTAATTTTGACCTAGATTTATTAGCTACCGAGAAAATTATGCAATGGGTACAAAATAATATTCAACATCCTCCTTTAAGTGAAATGTGATAAAAGATAAACAAAAGCAAGCCTTCCTACGACAGAAAGCAAGATTTCTAGCTACTTTGAGTTCAGCTGGAAGTGAAGAAGAATTCAAGAAAATCATTGAAACCATATCTCCAGAGGTTACAAGTATATCCTCTGACAAAGACAACAGAAGAAGCCTTAGCCCAGCCGGAGATGATGATTACGGCTATTTTGTTAATGAAGATGATTGCTATGGAATTTCTCTGTAGTAACAAAAGACAACAAACTTGACAAAAGCTAAAGAGGACACGACATAAAGAAAAAGAAAATTTGACAAAAGAAGAAATTATTTGACAAAAGCAAAAGAAGACATGACATAAAGAAAAAGAAGACTTGATAAAAGAAGAAATTATTTGACAAAAGAAGACAAAAGACTTGATATAAAGGAGAAGTGACAAAAGAAGGAATTATTATTCGAAATCTTAGAATAGTAATTTTCCTTTCTATAAATTGTAAGCTCTGCCTCATTTGAGAGCACGAGCAAATTTACTTGTTTCAATAGCCTTAAGAAAACTCTCTCATTGTAATAGTCTTGACGTCTATTTGAGAAGTTTACAAGAAGTTTGTACTACAATATTGTAAGTTTTATCAAGAATTTCAATATATCATCATTTCATCATGCCTCCTATTTTTATTCTAAAATCAGAACTATATCGATCCTCACCAAACTGGTATCAAAGCCTAATCGGGTTCTTGATTTCAGGAGAGGAGAGAGAAGTTATAATGCTTTTTTACATTTATGATCTTGGAGAATATGAATTTTATATTAGTTTTCACTTTATTTTCAAAATTTAAATTCAACAAAATGTTTTTTTAGAGAATTTAATACCTTTAAGATTTCACAAATTAAACAATAGAAATGTAAATTTAATTTTTTTTAAATTATTTAAGTCATACAATGAAAGTACCTACTTTATTCACATTTCTTCATTATAATTTATTTCATAAATTAATTTATAAATTAAAGATGTTATAAATTGGTATAAGAACAGTTTGTCTTAACAAGCCTGAGGTATAGAACTAGTTTGCTTGTACTACGGCTTGTGTGCATTAATATTTTTGTAGAACCAAAACATAAGATAATTATTTCGTAGTATGACCTATTTGGTACTCTAAACAGGGATTTGTGTGACTATGATTTAATATGTACATATATACGTATGGAATAGTAAGTTTGCTAGTATATATATATGTTTATCTAGATTAGAAAATGGGGTAGACATAAATAAGTTGAAGCAACTGCTAAATTTTCAGCAAGTATGGCTGTTAGAGCTCTTAAAATATGATCAAGATAAATAGCTTGAATTGCCATGATTCATGAAACATCATCCTCCAAAGTTTGACCCAAAAGTTAGATAAATACCAGGAAAGTTGTATCCTGGGTTCATCAAGAAGCTTAATTGTTGCTCAGCTTTTAATGCTGAGTTGTGGGATTTTGTTAAGGGGCCTTAGACTTGTTAAAAACCTTAAAATTGAAGAAGTTTTAGTATAAATAAATTATGAACTAGCTATTTATTTTGTTGGTTCTAACATTTCTGGACCACAAAATGTATCCTATAATTATTGACAAAAAGGAATAGAAAACACAAATGGCATTGGTCCCTTGTTTTTCAGTTAAATATGGCATTTGTCATATAAATAAAAAAATAAAACAAGTACATATCCAATTGAAGAAATCTATTTCTTTAAGACGAACTCAAATATAATTATTTCTAAATTAAATTATTTTTTTAATTTTCATCGTATTTATTATTTTCTAATATTTTCCTCATACTCAAATTTTAACACTTCTAATTTATATTTAATTTTAATTTTTAAAATTTGACATATATGAAATTCAAAAGGCATGAAAGTAATATATAGATTTCAACAACTTATTCCCATAACTTTCATGTCGATTTTAAACATTTTCTATTTAATGAATTCAGGTTTTAAAAAAAAAAATCTCTGCCATTTATAGCAAGAATATGGTTATTATATCTTCTTTTTAGGATATGTAATTTTTAACATTATTTAAAATAGAATTTTATTATGTTTTTAATTTTTATTTTTAATTATTTTTTTAAAAGATATCAATGCAATGTGCGGTAAAATTGCTAGTTGGCTTATATCTAACAACTCAGATTTATATTTTCGAAGTCTAGCATAGTAAAAGGTCTTGATCTTCATTATTACATAAAGTGTATGCCGTGTAACAATAATCATTCCCAAAACCTGAAACAAGTGCTCACGATAAAAAGGCTCCCATGGCCCTTCATTTGCACCTGCTAAAATGGGAAAATAATGATTAGAAGGCCTGAAAACAAATATCATTTTTTCTAAGTGCGCACGCACCATAAGAAATTAATAAATATTCATTTTTTGTTAAAAGTTGTGACATTTAATATTATCAATGTATTAGATTCTCTAATCTTCAATATAAATTTATTATACATAAAAATTCTTATTGTATACATTGGACTTTATTAAACAAAACAAATATTTATATGGACTACTTTAATAATTCCACCTTCATATATTATTCTTCAATTCCTCAAACTTCTGAGCGATTGCATCCTGTTGTTTTTCTTCGTACACTTCTATTAACGACTGTATTGCGCTGGATATCATTACTTTTTTTCGGTCTGCAACGGACTTATCTTGAACATCAACCATGCTCTCACCAGATGAGCATAATCCCTTGAGCCAATCTTCAAGGATCGATGCTTTCTGTACACGAACAAAGAAGGAAATTAAATCAAGAGAAATTTCCGTTGAAAATTATTTGAAAACACAAAATCCTATTACCTACATGCAATTACAACAATGAAGTTTGACTAGAAGTGTGCTAACAATAACTTTGGAGGTGAAAAGTATAGATCAAATCACGTCGAAAATTATTTGAAGACACTTAGGGAAATGTAAATAACAAGATTCATGTTGGGTGGATTAACTCGAGGAATGCTCATGTATGTTATTTGTGATTGAAAAATGCCAATATAGCATAAAGGAAAAGCTGATGACACGAGTAGTAAAGCTAGTAATGCTTTGTTATTTTGAATGCTGGGCAGTAAAGTACCAAAGCCACTTGGAGTAGGGCTAGGGAGATGAGACTTGGTCTTGGGCAATTGCACTATTCTCTCAAACCATACAATACTAATCAAGAATGAACTAATTAGAATGACAAGATGAAGGGACTGCAAAATGGTCCCAGAATGGAGTGGAAAACACAAACATTAAACTAAGTACTGTAAAGACCAGAATGTTGAGATCATTGCATTGACATACAAGAATGAACACAGTAGAGATATTGAAGTTTAGAACAAACCAAAATCTAACTAAACATGAAAAACTAACTCGGGATGCATGAAAGGGAGAAGGGATGTTGCCAAGTCTCAACAAGGAGATACAAGAGATGAACAGGGAATAATTTCCCTGAACCGTGTAACTGATCCTTAAGAGTACAGCTATAACAGAAAAGGTGGCACTTGAAGGGAGGGACCCCTCAGTTGTTTCCTAATTTATTTCTTGATTTGATATTGTAATAAATCTGTTTGGAATCAGATTTGAATCCTGATCAGATCATAGGTGATAAGCTGCATTGAAAACTGGTCAACTACTTCAAGTTTATATCTAAGGGAGCAGAATCATGTAGTCCCTAGAGCATTTGTCAGAATGTCAGCTGTCTGAACAAATACAGGAATGAGTGACAGAGAGACTTCTGTTGATAACCATTTCGTGAAGAAACGCTTTATGGTGGAGAATGACGTAAGAGGGATAGAGGCCATAGCTGATTTACTAGTAAATTGAATGACCACTACAAATCCATTTTGCCTTCAAAAACTTATCCAGGAGTTAAATGCTAAAGAACATAATAAGGAAAATGGAATGATTTTCATTAATAGTGAACTATAGAGCTGATGGGTCAATCGACACGTATGACAGTGAGCAGCTGGTCTGCTTAGCTGGACAGGCCAGGCCCGTTTATTGTTTATTAAACAAGCCAGGCTTAAACTTTATTGAAGCCTTCTTAACTCAATAAGCCAGGCCTCAAAGTCCAATGTTATCAATGGCGGATGGCAGAAAGCAAAAAATATGGCCGATGCCATGGCGGTCATAATAAATATATATATATATATATATGTTGCAAAATGTGATATAAAACTAGAAAACTAATTACATACAAAAGAAGGATGGTTTTGAGAAAAGAAGAATAAAATGGTTGTACAATAGTGGAAAAAAGCTGAAGTTATAACAGAAAAGTAGAGAATTAAAAATACATATGGAGAAGAAAACTTGGATGTGAAAACAGAAAAATAGAATCAAGAAAACAAAATAATAAGGAAAAACGAAAAGAAATGGGGGAGTAAAACAGGACGGGAGAGGGAAAAACAGAATTGAAAAGAAAAAAAAAAGAATAGGAGAGGGAAAAACTAAGAGCGACAGAGCCCAGAGAAGCAAAATGGAAAATGGATGTTGAAAAACAGGGCCTTCCACTCACAGTTGTCAGAAAACAGCCGGAAAGGATGTCTTCTCTGGCAAAAATGGTGAAAGAGATGAAGGAGAAGTTGGCTTTAGAGAAGAAGGAAGAAAAACAGAGCAAAAAGAACCCTAAAAATTTTACCCTTAGAAGAGAAGGAAAAAATTTTAAGTGGAAAAAGTCTATTTTGCCCTTAAAAAAACCCTAAAATACATATAGCAAGGGCAAGATCCAACTTTCACTATCTTTCTCCATTATTACCCTTCAAAAGTGCACACCCACACCAAGACACTACAATTAGGGCTTAAGTTCTGCGAATAAAGAAATACTTACACAGCAAGCATCACATGGACAACCGTCGCTCCACAGCGGCACAATAGCCAACCACCACTCCACAGCAACACAACAGCAATGAAGGAAGAAAATATGTGATTTAGGGTTTGGGCTCTCAGATTTTCTTTTTGGAGCAGGGCAAGCCAGTGGCCCAACTCAATTTTTCCGGCAAAAATGCCATTGTTCTACATTTTCTGCCATGGCCGCCATTACCACCATGGCGCTGCCATGGAAAAATGCCAGAAACGGTAACGCTGTAACGACGGGGTTAAAAACCGCCACCTAAAGGTCAGCATATTTAAATTATTATTTATCTTAATTTGATAGACCAGTCGACCTATTTAAGTAAATAGGCTTGCTGGCCCATTTATGTATGCAAGCCTACTTGGGTTAATAGATCTTTTGTCCTATTTATAGGCCTCATAAAACAACATATAATAAATTTAGGCAAGACCAGGCTTATAAATGGGTCAGGCCAAGCTTTAAAAAGAGCCTGTAACAGATAATTGGGCTATGTTCAGACCAGCTATTTAAGAACCAGGACGGGTCAGGCTTACGCTTGTTTCCCTTACAAATCAAGGTTAGTTGCCAAGTTCATTGAAATCAATGGAAAAGATTACTTCAAGACCATTGCTTTAGCTTCTATGATGAATACAGTTAGAGCAATACTATCTCTTGTTGCCAATTATGGTTGGGAGATGCAGCAATTTGATGTAAGAATGCTTTCTTACATGGAGAGCTTGAGGAGGATTTATAAGGAAATACCTCCAGGATATGGTGTTAATTTTGCTGCCAGTAAGCTTGAAAAGGCCTGTATGGGTTGAAACAATCTTCCCAGGCCTGTTTGGAAGGTTTACTAGTCATGAAAGTCTTGAGATACAAACAAAATGAAGGGATCATACTTTATTCATCAAATATTCTGATTCAGGGGGAGTTACAGCTCAGTTAGTGCATGCGGATGACATTAATTGACAGGGAATGAAAGGGAAAAACAGCAGATCTTGAGTCAGTGCTTGGCTAAAGAATTTAAGATCAAAATCTTGGGAAAACTGAAATAGTTTTTGGGGATTGAAGTGGCACAATGAAGGAAAGAGATCTTCATATCTCAGCAGAAATATATCACTGATTTGCTAATGGAAACAGGGAAGACAGCCTGTATACCTGCTGGCACTCCTATAAATCCAAACCCAAAATATTGATTTTGGTTGTCTGGCAAGTAATTTCATTGTCTGTATTTCACTATAATTTCCCATTCACATTGGAATAAATACCTTCACTAGAAAATCTTTCAGCTGTTGATCATTTGTGCTCGAGGTAAAGCGTAGAATGTGTAACATTGTCATGGTAAGCTGCATCAAGAAATAAAGAATTCAGTTAAGCAATCAGATTGATGAATGTCACAACTCCAAGATTCTATGATAAAGATAAAATAATAAGAACTCGAAGTTTATTTAAAGTTTATATAAATTGCCTTCTAGCTTTGACATGTCTAATTACTAAATGACTTTTCTAATTCGGTCATAATGTTCTCACAACAAATTTCTACAACAATAAATTTCTTTGTATCGTCTCCCATCACATCACCCATCTTGATTTATCACTCCTTTTTTTCTCCTCTCTTCCTATTTCTCTAGTTTGCAACAAAAATTCTACAAATCTTTTGTACAAATAGCATCTCTCTTTCTGATTTGATGTTTAAAATAGTAATAATATAATATTAAGATTAATGGATATTTTTGTCAATACAAGTAAAAGCAGGATTTTATTCAATGCAAAAGCAACAAAATGTAGCGTTCACATCAGGGGAGTCAAAATGAAGTTTGAAAGCTCAAACTTAGTTTTGCATCAAAATTGCAACACAATAGTTGGATGACGTTCCAGACAGAATACAACCTACAAATGGGGGTTTGGCTTCAGCAATGCTATACTGAACACACCCATAAACTATTACCTAGAGATACATGAATAGATTTTAATTTATATTGCGTCTCTAACATGACACTTCATACAAATGCCCTTTCAGTTTGAATTGTGGACAACGCAAACCCCTATAGCGTGTAGTTAAATTCAACATTTATCAGAAGAATAAGGGAACTCGAGCCTATTTGGTAATAATAGAGGTTTTGATACCATGTCAAGAGCCAACAATCCCAAATGCGTAAGCTATTAGATGAAGAAGAGTGTGCAAGTCATCACATTCCAAAAATTGTAGCAAAAGCCTTTTAAATGTTGCCAAAAGCAAGTTTAATTGTGAATACAACTATACCTAGACCTACAAGGCAACAATGCTACTTAGTTTGAATCACAACAGTTTTAATTCATGCCTATTTGATTGACCACTCCAACATGATTAACCCCAAATGGCATTGATGAATATGAAGTATGACCTGTTTTTGAAATGACACCCTGTACTTGAAATTTGATGGGCTTGAAATTTGGTCTTCATCTATATTCTCCATTACATGCTCAACAGAATGCAAAATATCTGAGAAGGATTGACCATAATCTGTGAAAGCACAAGAGAACTAGTTACATTCAGATGAAAGCTTCAAACTAAAAATTGTGAACGATGAAAACTAATCAGAAGCCAATACATTTTAAGATAAAAGTAGATAAAAACGTAAATGGAAATGAAGGTTTTATTTATGGTAGATTATAATAAATCATGGTCCATTTAGTATGCATGATAGAATAAGGTCTATAGTACAAGATTTTGACAGTTAAGATCCTTGTAATTGATTCTGTTAAGGAATCAATGTATGAGAATAATTTTAGGATCCTAGTATAAAGTTATACAGCAGTTTGGAATCATACACTGCAAGGCAAACCACTCCATATTCTTCCGATGCTCACCCTCTAACAAATATATCTATCTTGTAGTTTATGTAGATGAAATTGTGATTACAGGTAATGATCAAGGGAGCATCAAGGCTCTAAAGCAACTCTTCTGCCAAAACCCATTCTAAACCATTTCTAGAGTTGTCTAGGAACCCATAGCTAGGAGAAAGAGTCCCTTCATTTGCAAAATCGCATGACAAAGGGGAATTAATCATATGTGCCTATTCCTTTCTCCCCCAAAGCACCTATGTGCCTCCTCACTCTTGTTGCAGCGTGCTCTGGTGCCAGTGGAACGTATTCTGGTTTTTCCTCCCTTTGTCCATTGTTGTGTGATTGTGTCCTTCACTGTTATGTTGTGGGCTTGTGTGATTCCCACCCACTACTCTAGCTATGTGCTTTATTGTGTGCTCTTATTTTTGGTAAAGGAAGATAAGTTTAATAAAATGTTTGGTGTGATTTAAAGGCTATTTTTTTATTATCACTATGCAAGAAACGAATAGAGCAACCAAATTGTGTTTGAATTTCACTGCAAAAATTCTGAAAAATTGTAAATAATTCTGAGCACTCTTTCATTAAGAAAATCCAAGTACATCTTGAGTAGTCATCAATGAAAATAACAAAGTACCTATATCCTAAGATAGAATTAAAACGAGTCAGACCCCACACATCTAAATGAACGAGATCAAATGGAGATTTTGCTTGACCATGGACAGCACTTGGAAAAGAGGCTTGAATGTGTTAACCTAACTAACATGATTCACACTCCAAATACTGCAAATGAGAGAGGTGAGGAACCATTTTCATCAATTTATTTAGACCTGGATGACCTAGACGAATATGCAAGAGAAGAGGGGAATCTATAACAGCGCAGACAACAGAGGATAGAGGTTGGAAATAATAAAGACCACAAGATTTAGATCCTGCTCCAATTATCTGTCTGTACTCCAGTCTTGTATAGAGAAAGTTTCAGCAACAAACATTATGGAACAATTATGAGAATGAATGAGTTGACTAACTAAGACCAAATTAAAGGGACAACGAGATACAAGAACATAATTTAAGGATAAATCAGGAAGAGGAGTAGTTTGTCCAATGCCAATGGTATTAGCTTTTGAACCATCAGCAAGGGTGATGTGGTGTGCTGTTTTAGGTTGTAACAGTTTTGAGAAAAGGGAAGGATTACCAGATTGAGCTATGGCAGGGGAAGATTGTTGTGCTCCTGCCTTTAGCTGGATGTACTCCTGATATTTCATGTCTGAAAATATTCTCATTGTCTCTACCAAGTTCAGTTTGTTGGTTGATTTCTCAAGAAACCCAATCAAAGAATAGCACTTATCTTGGGTGTGGCCCATTCGCTTACAATAAGAGCATTGTGGAAGAATACCAGAACTACGACCTCCTCTTCCACCATCTCAACCACGACTTCAACCTCCACGGCTGGTCATATTAGAAAGTAATGTAGAAGACTCCAAAACTGGTTAGGAACCATTTCCAGACATAGTTTCTAGAAAGGGAACACACAATAGTCGATCAATGAGGTTCTCTACTGTAGGTACAGAATTTAGTTCTGAACAGATTCAAAATCTTTGTGAAGGCCATGATGGACGAACACCATGCACATGTTATCAACTGTGTCTACAACTTTCTGAAGGTCATCAACTATCAAGACCAACTTAACTTCATCAATGGTGGACTGTGCTCTTTTCAAATATGATGGGAGGTCATTATCTATCATCTTAAGTGCAGCCAAATTATGTACGATGTCACAGAGATGCTGAACATCATTCGAATAAATACTAGGAGCATTCTTCCATATATTGTCACGTCTTATATGTACAAAAATGAACTAACAACTTTGGGCCAATGGAATGCCATAGTAGTGAAACCAAATGATAATCAGCCTTCTTCCACTTATCTCGTTCAGTGGGATTAATGTCTTGTCTTCTTAGTCAGATGATCAGAGAGACCTTAACCCAAAAAGCAGATTTCCACCATAGCTTGCCAATCCATATAATTTTTCCCATTAAGAGACAGGGTGTGCCAACGAAGGCTGAGTGTTTGGCGCACATGGTAGTGCGTGGGCTGCCAGGAGATGGCAACGATCGGTGGGACAGCCAATTGGAGACTTTTGGGTCCAGTGCCAAAGTGTTAGGTCAAATGGTGGCCAGACATTGGGATAACTAGGATTGACGGTCTTTAGATTGTGCATTTTGTTTTATGAGGCCCACAAGATTTGAGCTTTGATACCAACTTGAGACAAGTACAAAACTAATTTAGGGTAAATTTAAATGCTCTCATGTCATTCAGCAGTCTTTGAATTTATAATTACATTTTGTACAAACTAAATCCCTTGATTATAAGGATTGACTGAGTATTTCCAACTCATCCTAATTACCTTATTTACACAATAAATCAGATTTCTATAAACAAGGAAAGAATGGTAAACTACATTAATAACAGAAATACAGAGATTCTCAAAACTGAGTAGTTTTTGACCAAACCTTATAGCATTATGTGATCTATATAGTCGACCTCGCCTATAGGAATAATGCCTTTGTTGTTATATCTTTAACACTTATCCCCAACTTAAAGTTTTTGCATAGGAATTAATCAAATATATTTCCAAAAATGGCAAAGAAGTCTCTGCACTTCTTTGGTGATAGTAGAAACAAGATAATAAAGAACTGATAGAAATTCATTGTAAGATAAAATGTTACCTTGCACAGACGCTGGCACAGCCAATGCTGCAGCAGCTAGTATCCTGATTTTAAAATTTGATGAATCACGTAATAGTTGCAGAAGAATACCAAACACATCTGGAGACCTGCAAACAGACAGCATGAAACATTGTTTGATAGTTATACATTTCTGTGTCAGACATGTAATGGATATGAATGGATATTCTGTTTACCTACTTCCTACCAATGTTATCAATGGCGGATGGCAGGTCATGGCGGAAACCTAAAAAACTGCTATAAAATTATGGCAGCCGCCATGGCGGATTATGGCAGAATTATGGCGGCTATAATAAATATATAAAAAATACTATATATAGGTAATAAAAAATTATAAAAAAAAAGTTAACTCAATACACATGTAGCTTCCACCCATAATTCAATACAAAATAAACATTTTTAAATTTTTTGTTATGTTATCTTCTTTTATTTATCTTTTCTTCCACTATTCTTGTTAGGGTTCCAATTAAAATGTTTACTTTTCTTTTCTGTCCCACAGTTTTCAGAGTTTTATAAGAGTAAAAAGACTTTTTCCTTTTAAAAAAATTTAGATTTCCCTTTTTGCCTTATGTTTTAAGTTTTTTTAAGGGTAAAATAGTCTTATCACACTACTTTCTTTCTCCACTTTTGTTCGAGCTATCTTCTCCAATATCCATCTTCCTCTCTCTCTTTTAGTGGGCCGTCTCTGTCTTTGGTTTGGGGTGGCTCCATTCCCTCATTTGAAGGACTAGTTGCTGGAAATAGAAGTTGAAGTTGCCGGAGATGGAGGACTAGTCGCCAAAAATGGAGGTTGAGGTCACCGAAGATGGACAACAAAATGGCGGCCGCAAGCAAAACATGTAATAGGTCAAAGAAGAGAGAGATCTAAGACGAGTTCAGATCTACGTCGAAGACAAAGAGAAATCGGAGAAGATGACGATAGAAATAAGTTGGAGACGAACAGAGATGAGAGAGATTAGAGAAGAGAGAATTCTGAGATGAGGGAGTAGAGTTTTGAGTGACGAAGAAGAGGACTTACCTAAGTTTTCTGCGCAGGTCACCCTTGGTCTGGGTCGAGTTTGGGCCCAAATCACTGAATTCGCCATTTTTCAAGGTTTTCTACCATGGCCGCCGTTACCGTCATGCGTGTAACGGCCGCCATGGTGCACCATGTAAAAAGGCCATATAATGGAAGCGGTTTAACGGCAGGCTTAAAAACTACCACGCCGCCATTTGACAACACTGCTTCCTACAGTTGACATTGTCAACACTAGTTTGTTCACCTTGGCCACCTCTATGTGGATCTGATCTTAAAATATGTGATTGTCAGTCCATCCCTTTTTCAAACAGATTGTTTTTCCACATGGCGTTAGGTGATTTGTGCCTTTTGTAATATTCTGCCATGTTATACAAATCTCCCAAGGAATCTTTTTAAAGCCTTGTTAAGATGTCCCATATTGGCCAGGAATAGAGCCAATATAAGTGCTTGAGTAGTCCTTCTTCTATGAGCTAGCTTTTGGAAGTGAGTTAGGCTTAAGTTTCTTAAGATGGTATCAGAGTCTATTCAGTTTGAATGTTAGGCCACACAACACACAAATGTCTAGTCCTACAAACTTTATCAGATGTCTAATCCTGGGTGTGAGGAGGGTCTGTTAAGATGTCCCACATTAGCTAAGAATAGATTCAAAATAATCCTTATAAAGGTTTGGGTAATCCTCCTCATATGAGCTAGCTTTTGGGAGTGAGTTAGGTCCAAGCTTCTTAATAAGCCCTATAGAAGCTTTTTCTCATTTGTCTCTCCATGGCTGGCAAGTTTTTGTTCTCAATTGTTTCATGCTTTGGGTACTGTTTGATGGCATCCATAATTGGAGTTATTTGGGCATGGATATGGACATTATATAGCTTCCTTAGCTCAATTTAGCCATTAATAATGTGATTTTATGCTTAGCTTATCTAAAGTTCATTTGGGATTTAATTATCACATCAAGGATAACTTTCGGGTGAGGTGATATAATGCTTTTTTAAAAATTTTAATAAAATTCCTGGAGCCTAAGTTATGGCTATGAGAAGAAATGACAACGTTGAAAGCCTTTAAAGCACATGAATCAGCTCATAATGTTGTGCATGATCTAGCATGCTAAGGCTAATCAAGAAGGACCAGTACATGAGTCTTCAAACAATCGAACCAAGCCATGGAGGTGTATCATATGGGAATGCATGGCACAGGGTCATTTGCAGATAGGCCGGTCAGATTTTTTTGAGCGAATTGGAGGTTGCTGATCCAGGAGGACAGTACCAAAAATGTTCAGGAAAGTGAAGATGCTACATTTGCAGGGTACAGGGAAGAAAAAGGATCTTTCTTTAGTAAACTGATACCATGCTAAAAAGAAAAAGGTTTTAAGGAATTGTGTTTTTGTTCATTCATTACTAATCTGATTGACATATATGATGAAGCCACACTTGTGGTGCAAAGGGAAGAATATGGATCTCCCCTTAGGTTATGTTTGGGAGTCATAATAGTCAATCCCGGCGGAGAGGCGCGGAGCGGCCAACCTCAAAAAAGCTATAGTTGGGATAGGGGTAGCGGGATGACCGCTATTCTGAAGTTTTAATACACACATACATGCTGAAAAATATAAAACTAATATGCAAATTTGGATAAAAACGTAAAAAGAAAACTCAAATTAGAGAAGGAAATAAATAACAAAAAGCAAAGGGTGCAGGAGCAGCCATTGCTTCTACTTGAAGCATTGAAATTTGAAACAGAACAAAGTAGGGGAATCAAAACAAAGAGGGAAATAAAAAAAGTTCAATCATCGGAAAATGTGCAGTTCGCTAGAAAGTTCGCCAGAGATGGAGAAGATGACAGGAAAGTGTTTGGGTGATGTTGGAAGCTTCACTGACCTTGAACAAGACAACAAGAGATGAAAAAAATGACAATAATCTGGGTCACATTAGAGGCTTCACCGGAGACGATGAAGATGACCGGAGAACCTCCCTTTTCTGTTAGAAGCCTCGTCAGAGATAAAGGCCACACTCCAGTGGGGGAAATAGATAAAAAAGAGATGAAATGAAAGGAGAAATGAGAGGAGAGTTGAAAGGTGAGTTGAGGGGCTAGGGTTTGCAAGAGGGAAGGAGAAGATTCAGAAAATAAAGGGGGGCTGAAATCCCAATACTGCCCCACCTTAAAAGCCCCCAAAGTTAAAAAAAATAGAGGGCAGATTTGGAATTTTTAGGGAGAACAGCATAGTGGCCGCTACAGCCACGATTTCCAACCGCTATTCGCAGCGCAACAGCCACAACATTGAACCGCAATGCTATAGGGTCACCATAGTAGAACTGCACCACTCCGCTCCACCGCTATTGATAACTATGTTGGGAGTTTGGTTTCAGAGGGGAGGGGAGGGGAGGGGAGGGAGGGGGTTAGAAGGGGTTTAATCTTGTTTGGAAGTTGCTTAATTAGGAGGGGCAGGTTTTGGGGTTATTTTTTGAGTTCTCCCATTTTGGGAGGTTTTCTCTCTCCCACTCTTTCATACTATTTCACAAATAGGATTTTTTAACTTTTTTTTTTAAAAAAAAAATGTTAGTTTTTCAAGTAATAATTTTTTAAAAAAAATTTAAAAAAATAAAAATATTAATTTTAAAATTATTTATATAATTAAACTCTCCCTATCACCCTTCATTCTCAATATTAAACATCCAAACAAAGGAGGGGGAGGAAGGGGAAGGGTTTGAAGGGAGAAGGAGAAGGGAAGGGAGAGGGAAGGAGGTTAAACCACAAACCCCTTCTAATCCCTTCCCTCCCCTCTCCTCCTAAACCTAACTCCCAAACATAGCCTTAGAGAATTAATACCATGCTAAAGGGGAAAAAAGTTTTAAGGAATTGTGTTTTTTTCATTCATTACTAATCTGATTGTACTTGAGTGCTGTAATTATAGACCTTATGCAAGCACATTTCGTAGATGCTACAGATTACAATATCTAGTAATTAGCATAAGAAAAAGATAATATATTGTAAATGAGAAAGCATAAGAAACATGTGCTTCATTCTCACATACCAGCCCATATCTTGCAGCCTCAATGTCTCATTGAGGAATAGGTTGCCTAGAGCATGACAAACATTCCACTGGACCTAGTAAAAGACTCAAGGATCAAGAGTGGAAATCAAACTTATTCAGAATTAAATTAGAACAATGTAATTAAGGTACCTTAACATTCCCCGTAGTAATGCAAGAAAGAAATGCCTTAACTATTCTCTCTAGCCTATGAAAATCGTGCCAGGAATCCGATGCACAATGCTGTGGACACACCAGTAGATTCTCACTAGTGAGATGGGCACCAATCTTCTGGTCACGGTAGTCCACTGACATGTCTTGAAATTTTGATGTTGGACATTTAAAGATTCTTGAAATATACCCCAGAGCCCTTACAGCATTAGATTTAACCTGGTAATGCGTAAAAGGGAAGAACATATAAAACAAGAAACAATGAATAACTGTATTGTCAAAGGAGTCAGATAATCAGCATAACACTTAGCTAAGAGTAATAATCATAGGAGAAGAATAGGTGAAATCACATTTCATCAATATAGAAGATATGAATTGAAAGATACATAACAAAATAAAACCTACCTTGTCTCCGTCCTCGGTAAGATGCAAAGCACATTCACTCAACGATACAATCAGCTGGGGGTTAGAGTTTGAATCTGCATCAAAAATTCAAAATAAAAGGACGAAAATAAAGAGATTACAAGACAGAAGAAATAGAAATTGTCTTCACACTAAATCGTTGACCATTCCATCACAGACATCAAATTGAGCTCACCCATCTGTCCAAAGGGAAGGATTCTGACCGAGTGACAAATAGCATCACATATATTTGCCAATGCCCACGAAGCTGTTATCCTAACCTGATATGAGAAAACAATGAATTAGTGCTTAAGTAACAAAAAGGGTACGAATAAGTAGAGTAAAACACTGAAGGAGATATTACTGAGATTAGGGCATCATGAGTGTTAATCTCAACAGCATGGATAAACTTGTCAAGTACCTCTGCACTACAGAGATTATTGAGAATTTTCGTTAATACTCTAACGAATACAATGCAAAAGATTAAAAAAAAAAAATCATAAAAATTGACACTACAAGCTTTAGTATAACCTTTGACACACTTGTGGAAAACATGAAATGACACCAATGGCCCGACAGGCAGCAGATCTCACTGATGGCACATTATCATGTATAGCAGCATGCACCTACAAAATTTTAGCAAGTTAGTCAATTCAGTACAATGCCAATGGCATTGGGCATGAGTTCTATCAATACTTACTAAGGAAGATAAAATGAAGTCTTGCTTCTCCTTAGTGAAAGAGATGAACACAGAAGAAGTCATACCCGCAAAACACGTAATTGATGCAGCTCTCACCTTCCGGGAAATACAGAAAAAGGGACAGATTCATTAAAGATGCACTAATTATTCATTCAGTAATACTATAATTTCTTCCATAAAATAGGGGGGGAAAAAGAATTAAAAAACAGAAACATAACATATGCAAAAGGGAAAAATTCAGATTATTGGATCTTGAATTTGGGCATGGCCAAATTCAACCCCAAAAGCTAACTTTAAGGAAGAGTTCAAGAGGATTATTCAAGCCTTAACCAATGTATTTTGACACACTAATAGGAACTAGGTATCTTAGTAAAAAGAATTAGGGATAAACCCCAATTAGAAAACACACTGCAGAACTTCAAGGGTCTGCACCTCCCAATGCCATTAAGGCCCCAATTTCCTTTCAGAAATCACCCTCTATCCCTCTTTAATCTCCCCTCTTATTTATAGGCAATATGCCTTATTCAAACTAACTCACCTAATGGGTAACTAATTAACTAATTTTAACTAACTACTAAAGGGGGTTAACTAAGTAATCTATTTAGACAGACTATTAATGGGGGTTACCTAACAATACTCCCCTCCCTAAAGCTTCACCTCGTCCTCAAGGTGAAGGATTACATAATTCCACCAAGGTCTCACTATCTAAAGCATAAAAATTGACTGTCTCTTTTCCACCATAGCTAGAGATGCAACAGTAGCATAAGTTTCCCTGACCATGCTCCCTTCTCCTCACTTGGTACGTTTGTCCCTGAAATTGTGGAATGATGACTTGATCTGCTTTCATCTCCATCACCGTAGTAGCCTAAGCCTCCACACATGCACCACAACTCCACACATGCACCACAATCTGGTGGTTAAGGTAGGAGGAGCATCTTGCCTGCCTCACTTGAGGAACAAAGTTTCATTACAGCTGTTGATCCACCCCACTTCATGGAAGAAAATGAATCACATGGGTTTGGCAGAGGTGGTGGGATGTTCACACTACCCAAACCCTCAGTTGTTGTCATAGGATCAATCCTAGGCTTTCTGCTCATGACAAAGATAGGGCTTCCCTCAACCTTTGTTTCCTCTTTGCAACCTAGAGAAAGACCCCTCCCTTTGCTGTCCCTGCCACACTGATTCTTAATTTCAAGAACTTCATTTTTCCTTTGTTTTCTAATTCTTTGTCCATAATCTTGTTGGGTTTCTCCCTATTCTTGTAACTTTCTTGTGTTCATTTTATGTCCTTGAGCAGCTGGTTGTGTTTTCTCTAAGCCTTCATCGTCTGGTCTGTTTTCTTGCACCCAAGAATTGTCATCTTTGCTTCTATTTCTTGGGTCCCCATGCTGTTGCACCTCTTCCCACACTGGTTGATCAAAATCATACTCTGGCTGGAACCTTTTGATCAGTGCCTTCACAAATGTCCACCAGTCTGCACATGGGTTGCACCATTTCCATGCTAGCCACGAGTTGAGAGCATCATCTCTTAGAGCCTTTGCTGCCTTTGATAACTTCTCCTCCTCATGCATTCCAGTAGCTTCAAAATACTGCTCAACCTGGATCAGCCACCAATAGGCCTCCTTTCCATCAAATGTTGGAATCATCTTCAAGAACTCAATACCCACAGCTCCAATAACAGAGCTTTGATACTAGTTGATAGGAACTAGGTATCTTGTTAAGAAGAATTAGGGATGAACCCCAGTTACAAAACACACTGCAGAGGCACCTCCCAATGCCATAAAGGCCCCAATTTCCTTTCAAAAAACACCTTCTATTCCTCTTTAATCTCCCCTCTTATTTATAGGCAATGTGCCTTATTCAAACTAATTCACCAAACAAACCAACTGTTGAAGATCAGTGCAATATCATGCAAAAATGAAATACACACTTCCTTTATGGCATTGGGAGGTGCAGACCCTCGAAGTTCTGCATTGTACATTTGGTAATTGGGTTCATCCCTAAGTTTTCTTAATAAGATACCTTGTTTCTATCAGTTATTTAAAAAGACCAGACAGCAAACTATTGAAATTGTAGAAGTCCCACATAGACTTCAGATATGGCTAAAGTAAAACCTATAAAGGTTAAAGCATTCCTCACTTTACAAGCTAGCTTTCAGGATTTAGTTAGGCCTTAACCCAAATTTAAGATGGCATCAAAGCCTATAGAAGATTCAATATTCGGCCAAGCTAGCTTTTATTGTTGAGTTAGGCGTTAACCCAAATTCAAGATGGTATCAAAGCTTACTGTAGATTCAATAATGGGCCACCCATGACAAAAAAAAGAAAGAAAAACCTGTCCATGGAATTTTCCAAGGCAATTAACCTGGCCATGTGGATTTTCCAGCACGACCTACCTGGCCCCACAACTTTTCCAATACAACACCTGATCCCGCAGCTTTCCCAGTGCAATATTTAAAAAAAAAATAAAAAAAATAGTCCTACTGTAGTTGGAGTAATACCCCAATGTGACTATTGCAACAATAAAAAATGCTATTGGCATAGCTCACAATCTGATACAACTTAATTAAGCATATTAAGGCGAAACCGGAAATACACTTTATCAAGGACTGACCAGTGGATTAATTTTGATAAACTTCTGTAATCAACATACTGATATATAGAGAGAGAAAAGTAAAGGGAAGAGTCTTTAGACTCAGAATACTCAGAATGATTTAACTAACTAGATCTTCAGAATGACAGCATATACTAGAAGCTGATAGACACCTGACAACATGTTCAGCCTATAACTAAGTGTTGAGAAGGAGAGAAATGAGAAGACATAGGATGAATCCATGTGAATAATAATTACATGATATTTTTTGTTATCTAGAATCACACTAATTACATAGTTACCCTATTTTCATAGTTACCTTATTTACGTGCATTAATCTCAACAGTTAGTAATGACTGTCACTGTAACACTTCTTTTTATGCAATTCCGATACCAAATTATTATGGCACTGTTTTATGTACTTATAATGTAACATCCATATTTATTATTTACAAATATTTCCATTACTCTTAACAATTGTAAATCATATCTCGAGTGACTAATTAAATTTAACACACAACGCAAACCACAATTGCAAGCTATTTGTCAAGCTTCTAATGTGTAAGGCAAAAGGTGACTCATCTAACATTCTTCATAAGGTGTAAGGCATTGCATATCACTTTACATTCTTATCTCACAAAATCTAATGTGTCTCATACCAGATTAGTTCACAAGGTGAATGTTACTTCATCTACATCATACCAAATTAGCATAACTTAACATCACAAAAATCACATAACAGAAAATAACAGTAACATGTACTTAGTTTTACTCTCCTCTATTAATAATCAAAAACATTTATTCGTTTGAATAAATCCCTTACCATCACGTGAATTCTATGGTTGAAACTAGATAGAGAGTAATTAGATAATTTAAATGAGTATCTTATATTACAAAAATTTTTAAAAACAGTAGGAAAGCAAAGCCAAGGTATTATTTTTATCTTACAGGCTTGGCTCAAGATGCGCTCATAATGTACATATAAAAGTTAAAACCTCACTTCCCTAAAACCAAAAGAAAAAATAAATAGATGCAAGATATCTGAATAAAGTCACCGAAGCAAGTTGGCAAACATGACCCAATTCTCTAGTATTAAACAAAATATATCAAGTGATATTATCAAAGAAATGAAAATTCTCACCATTGCCAAAGAGTGATACAAGATAAGAGGCATATGCTTCTCAATTGTCTCACACCATTGCTGAATGCCAGATTCATAAGTTTCAAAGTTGACAATATTGTCATCTTTGCATTCTAGCTCATATGAGGGAGCAGATGACACTTTCTTCATCCTTATGCAATCAGATGCAAAAGGAAAACCCACCAATTTATCATCTGAAAGATCTTCCGTTCCTTGAAACCCAGATGCTGCCCGAAGACACTCATCTAGAACCTTAAAAGTTTTATATAAATTTTATCATTACCAAAAAAGATAGAAGATATCATGGCTCAGAAATGGCATCCCATATACTGGTCAAATTAAGAAAAAAGAAAATTTACAATAAAAAGTCCAAATTAAAAATTTAATCCTTTTCAATGCACATAAAAGGAATACAGATTAGATCCACCACTATATGGTCCATGAGACACCAAGACACATGAACAATGTAGTGGTAATAATAAATTAATAGAACTTCTAATATATATATGTGTGTGTGTGTGTGTGTGTACTAAAAACAAGCACATTGGAAGCAAGTTCATGCTCACACTGAAATGAAAAATGGATCAAATTTGGGAAATCATAACAAGACAATAATTTCAGATGGAATCAATGAAATTGGAAAGAAAAGTTTATCACTGTTCAAAGAATGGTTACCACCAACACAAGGTAAACTTGATTAACATTACTTCCAGCATATCTCTAATTAAATACTCTCCGGTCCTTTCTATCGGAACAACTACTAATATTTTTTGTCTTAATTATAGAAACAAAAACCTATTTTTTGATGTATTAATGGTTAAATTCTTTTTATACCTTTACTTATTGTGAGATTTGTATTAATGAGATACTAACCATTAGTCATTATTCATATAATTGGATATATTCATCCGTTTAATGTATAAATTATCAATAAACCATTTATGTCTATGAGTATATCTAGAATATAATATAAATTTCTAACATATTACTACCATCCAAGAGGTATAATTCTTATCATCCAACATCTCTGCAGAGAGGAGAGCAGAGATGTGATTTGTGAAAATAGCAAGATCGACCTTCAAAGGCTTAGAGACGCCATGGGCAGCAAGGGGAAAAAAAGGTGGAAGAACAGTGCCAAACACCCCAAATCGGGAGGAAGGAAGCACCAAAATGAAGTAAAAATAGCAGATTCAGTAAAAAGCAAAAAAAAAAAAGTCAACAATGTGCAGTGGATCCACTGGATAAGACATAGAATAGGGTTTATCTCTTGTTAGACTCTTGATACCATGCTGAGGAGAAATTGAAAGACATTGAGTGAAATTAGTGTGTTTGATACACAGTAAAGGGTTTTATTTATAATGCCTACATAATAATTACAAAATATTCTACTACAATTTACCACAAATAACACCTATCTAAGTAATTGTTAGACTCTTGATACCATGCTGAGAAGAAATTGAAAGACACTGAGTGAAATTAGTGTGTTTGATACAAAGTAAAGGGTTTTATTTATAATGACTACATAATAATTACAAAATATTCTACTACAATTTACCACAAATAACACCTATCTAAGTAATTGTTGAGAAAGAGAAAAACGAGAAGACAGGCTAAATCCTTCTGTTTGAATATGTTGAAAAACTTGGGCCTAACCTAACTCACTCCTAAAAGCTTGCTCATAGGAGGAGGACTATCCTAACTCTTATAAGGAATATACTGGCTCTATTCCTAACCAATGTGAAACATTTTAACACACCCCCTCACGCCCAGGACTGGACATCTAATGCATGAAATTTGCAGGACTGAACATCTGCAAGAGTGGAACCCAATAAGACTGGACATCTGTGTGTAGCCCAACATTCAAACTGGATAGGCTATACGATGTTGAGAAACTTGAGTCAAACTCAGCTCATAGAAGGAAGACTACCCTAACCTTTATAAGGAGTACACTGGCTCTATTCCTAACCAATGTGAGACATCTTAACAAAATACATAGCAAAGCTATCTATTTATAATAATAATAATAATAATACAAAACAAATATATAATTTTCAATTATCTAAACAATTACATATAGGTGTCAATTTAAGGCCTTCTTAAGGATTTAGCAAAATCTTTTGTCAATTGATCATTAGAATTGATGAATCAAGTAACAATATCTCCAAACAAGATCTTTTCTCTAATGAAGTGGTAATCTATCTTATCTTAATGTCCTTGGTCCTCTCATGAAAAACTAGGTTTGAGGCATAGTAGTCAATAGCGGCCCGTCACATCACGTTTCAATGTAGTGGTTGTTGCGCTGCGAATCACAGCAAAAGGGCAAGTTTGTTCTCCCTTTCTAAAAGCTGGAATGTTTTTTAAAGGGGGCAATCTTGAGAGTTTGCCCCCCTTTTATAAGTTCTACTTTAATTATATTATCTATAGTCAAAGTGGAACATCAACCCACCCCTTCACATTCAAGATTAGACATTTGGAGCATGAAAATTGTATGACTAATTTCATTTTAATATTACACTAGAAAGGCCATGATCAGATAGGTTTTGTTAGGAAATCCACAAGGCCAGGTTAATTGCACTGCAACAATGCATGAGGCTAACTTTTTCAGCCTAATCAAGGGTGACCCAATATCAAATCTATAGGCTCCAATACCATCATAAATTTGAACTTAAGCATAAGTCAATCACAAAAGCTAGCTTATAAGATGAGGATTGTTTTAACCTTTATAAGTTATACTTAAACCATAAATGTAATTGATATGAGATATTAGAGTATATAACTCAGTTGTATTAGTTTAGCTAGTTGTGTTTTAGTTGTATTAGTTTTGCATCGGTTTTTCTATTTTGATTAGTTAGTTACAGAATCTATTAGCACTCAACTCCAACTATATATATCTCTGTACTAATCTAAACAATCTCTCAAGAATATATTGAAAAACTCCTAACAGAGTTTCTTTTTCTTCTCTCTCTCTTTTCTTGCTTCCTTACATTCTTTTATGTTATCAAGAGCTTAGTTTCGATCCATCTGTTTTCTCATGACATCCACAACTAATGATGACCCTGATGGCACTTGCCCATCACCTCCCCCACCACCAACACCAAAAGTTGTGTTGCTTGCTCTACGACATTTTCCCATACTGTCGTTGCTAAGCTCATTGATTCGAATTACCTTTTCTGGCGATCGCAGGTTCAGCCAGTCATCAAAAGTCATGGCCTACTCAATTACATTCTTGCTCCACAAATTCCTTCAAACCAAGATCAAGATCGCAATACAAATTCACCTGAATATCAGTTATGGGAGAACCATTCAATTGCTACTATCATGGCTTCAGTCAACAATCTCTAAAGCGGTTCTTCCACGGCTTATACACTGCTCCATGTCATGGCATGTCTGGGACAAGCTTCATGAGCATTTTCTTTCCATTGCTCATGCAAAGAAAAAACAAATTCGTGGTGAGGTTAGTACAATTTCGCTTAATGATCGCCCAATTACTGCTTATCTCCTTCATATTCAGACTTTACTCGATTCTTTGCTATCCATTGGTGGTTTTGTTTCACTAAGTGAACACATTGATATCATTCTTGATGGGTTGCCACATGAATATGACACGGTGGTTACAGTTATTGGTTTGAAAATGGAACCTCTCACTGTTGATGACGTTTCTTTGCTGGTTCTTGCACAAGAATCGCGTCTTGAGAAGTCTAGAAGAACACACTTGGCACTGTGCATGTAGCTGAAGGTACCCCGTTTTCCTCCCAAGATTTTGCAGCTCACGCTAATCTTACACGTGCTTCCTCCGTTTTCTAGTTCTGGTTATGGAAATGTGTCTCATACTGCTCACAGTCACAGTGGTGGTGGTCATTTTAGTCATGGTGGCCGAGGAAGTGGTTGTGGTCATGGATGTTATGCTGATGTTCAACATCAAATTTGTCACAAGTTTGGTCATGAGGCTTCTTTCTCCTACCATGATGTTAGCTATGTTCCGTCTCAGCCCAAACAGAATCGTTCACCTTGCCCTTCCCAACATCCCTCCCACTTAACTAACCCAACCCCTCCCCCATTTCCCAATTTTTTGTTTCCTCCATATCTTAAGTCTACCCTCATTACCCGTTTCTTCCTTCCTTTACACCATCTTATACTATCCCTCATCTCCTCAATTTTGACCTCCTTCGCCCAGTCCCCAAGCCAATGTTGCAAGTGCTTCCTCTGCCTCTGCAAATAGCTGGTACCCTGATTCTGGTGCATCTCACCATGTAACCAATGTCTCTCAGGACACTCACCATGTCACTCCCTTTGAAAGCCCTGATCAAATCACCATCCGTAATGGTAAAGATATAGACATTAAATCTTCAGGTGTAACTTCCTTTGTTCTCCTTTTAATAAATTTGTTTCTCTTTGTCTTAAGAATTTATTGTTTGTTCCTTCCATGTGTCAGTCAATTCTACAAAGATAACTCTGTTTTTCAATTTCATCCTTCTTTCTGTATTGTCAAATCTCAGGCTTCTAAGGATGTGCTTCAACGCACAACGGGGCGCAATGGTCTTTGTCACTTTCCTAACCAGCTTCAGCCTTCCAAGAAGTCTAATTCAACATCTGCCTTTGTGCATAACACTATTAATCCTGTTGTTTCAGATTCTATTTCACATTCCTCAGTTGTAAATGTTGCATCTAATACAAGTGATTCATACTCTATTTGGCATTCCAGACTAGGTCATCCTAGTGCTTAAGTGCTTAAAACTGTTCTAAAATTGTGTAATGTTTCTTCCATTAATAAATCTGAGCTTGATTTTTGTTCATACTGTTGTCTTGGTAAATCCCATAAAATGCCATCCTTTCCCTCTAATTACGTCTTTACACCCTTTGAAGTAAGATAGCTTCACAAAATATCCTCACTAACTTGCTTGAGTGGTATGAGGAACATTAAGCCTTTGGTTTGATTGATTTTGTTACACAAACTCCTTTGCCTAGTGCCTCTCACATCACATCTCTAAGCCCATGGGTTTTATTCTAGGGCCATTATAATTTACTAGTAACAAGTCGTTAATATTTACTCTTTCTACTTCGGGTTATTTACCATGTCACAAGCATAATCTAAAGGTATATTGTTTATCTCCTTCCCTCTCTCTCTCTCTCACTGTTTCTATTGTTTTATGTTCCAAAATCTTGTACCATCAAAATTCAAATGTAAAGTGTCCTTCACTAATGATTGTTTTCCTTCAGGACTGCAGTTCAAGACGGACAATTGACTCCAAATGTGAGTTCAACTTTTACCAACTTAACGCCTCTACTTAACCAACAAAATAATTTTACCTCTAATATGTTAAAGTAACCATCAAAGATTGCTTCTATCCGTACTATTGATGAAAGCTGTAATTAATGGTCAAAAGTATCTTAATGCTATGCTAACAGCCTAACCAACAAACTAACTTCATCTCTAATCAGTTAAAGTAATATTATAAATAGCATTACATCTTTACATAGGTAACCATAAAAGATTGTTTCTATATCCCTACTATGATGACATGCTAGATGACTAACATGGATTGCAGCTTTTCTCCACACAGGCTTTCTTCCTATTTAGCAGCAATTTGGGTTTTTTCTATCGTTAATTCGAATCCCCCACAACAATTCTCAAGATTTTAAATTCTTTATAAAAATAGAATCAAAACAACATAATAAAGCACAGGTTATTTTAAATACCCTTAAAAATTGAATTACCCTCTTAAAATACCTCATTCCAAACATACTAAGGTGATTTAGCCATTATTTCGCCTTAGTCACCAAAACAGACATTTGTGCCATGGAAATAGTGACTGCCAAATGAAAACCACCACACCATTGCCGTTATATGGCATGTTTGTCAAATATCTGCCACATCATACTGCCATGTCCACCATTAGGCAACATTGGTAGGATAAAAAGCGAATAGGTTGGGCTTTATGCTTTTAATTAATGTTGTCGTCCCTTGGTTTACTAACTAAATTTTAAACAGTTGTCCTATATGGTAGTGAATGTTGGGCCTTAAAGAAATAAGATGAGAGAAAAAATGGGAGTGGCAGAAATCAAAATATTAAAGTGGATAAGTGGTCACATGAGAAAGGACAGAATAAGAAATGATCCTCCACATGAAAATGTTAAGAGTAGCACCTATAGTGTAAAAGATGACTGAATACTGTCTTAGGTGATTTAGGTGTGTGCAAAGAAGCCCTTCGGAAGGACCAGTAAGGAGAGTTAATAGCATAACTTCCATTCCAATAAAAAGGAGTAAAGGAAGACCTAGGAGAACCTTAGATAAAGTTATTAAAAGAAATCTTTTAATTAATAATATTTCAAAACTTTAGTTTTTGACCGAGCTCAATGGCATCATGTGAATCATATAGCAATCTCATCTAGTGGGATAAGGCTTGCTTGCTTGTATTTTGGTCAAATACTTTGTCCCTGTTTTGCACTGTTCCATGACGACCACTCTTAAAATCAAAGAACAATAACTTTTGAGCCATCTAGTTCTTCATTTTCTAACACAATAAAGTATGGAAGGAACATTAAAATCTATATGGTAGACAAGAATGCAAACACACCAATTAACATCCATGGATATATAACACATGCACTTTCTACAATCTAATTGATTACTTGTTATACATCATTTAATCAAAAAGGCAGAAACGGAACTGAAGCTAATATAGGGAGGATTTAGCATTTATGAAGAGGAAGGATATAGTTGCTACCTTAATAGCAGTGACAAGAACTTTTTCACTAATAAATGAAGTAGGACTACCAACATGTTCACTTGACTGCCAGGAAGGAATTTCAAGGCATACAGCGCTAAGGAAGCCATACACAATAGCAGAAACTTGTTCCCAACATGCAGTCACTACGTTAGGATAATTGTGGGATATAGCTTTAAGTGCCTGTAAAAGGTTAATCAGAATAAATCAATAGACTATCATTGATACACATACATCAACTTTCTATTGAAAAATCAATTGATAAAACACAGCTATGTGAGTAACTTTCCATTACAAAATAACAAAGACAAGATACCAGTTAGCCTTCAGAATCAAGCATATTACAGTTGACATTAATATCATCAAATTTCATTAACCTTTTCCAGAAAAAAAAATCCTTTATATTTTACAATATTTTAATACAATATTAGACCAAACATTGTCATTTAGGCAGATATCTTCACAAGGTACGTCCAGGTTAAAAATGGAAATCAAAGAAAACAGGCTCATCAGAACACATAAATTCATCAAACCAAATACACCATCCCCATTTTTAGTTGGTAAAAACTAAATAATTCACCAATCCATGCCAAAAATATTCAAATTTTCCAATGAGGATACCTGAAGGGCCTCAAGGCAAATGGTTGGACAACTCCGTTGCATTGAATATTCAAATAACATAGACAGAACACCTGACTTCTTTCCAGTCTCAATATAACCTAGACGAAAGCCAAATGCAGACATGAATCTAAACCAATGAATAATAAAACATGACAACAAAATACCAGAAAGCTAACCAGCAATATTTTGTGGCAAAACATAGAATCTAAATAGATCAGTCATCCTGATGAGTTAATGGCTTAACGTACATGTAGATATTGACTGACCTAAGTGACCAATATCCAAAAACAAAACAAAACTTTATAGGCAATTTTTCTAACAATGGGAAACAGGTTTACATTCTTGATCTCAAAGCATGTACTTAGAGAAGATAACACAATCATAGGAACATAAATGTTACCATGTTAGCAAATTTTCTAATGATTTCATCAGCTAGAGTCTAAATCATTAAATATCTTATTCCAGTCAACAACCACTCCTTAATCACATTGTTCATAATTTATCCACATTCCATCCTATGCATCAATCAAAACTTACAATCCCTTTGACTCCCCCCAAATTCAAGACTTTTCGTCCAACTATTTTCATCATGAATTTAGTCAAAGCCATTCTTAAGTGTTGGACCTTACCAATGTTGTCAAATAACTGCCATGGCAGTGCCATGGTGGATGTTGGTGGCAGTTTTTGCCCAAACCACCACAACCATGGCAGAAAATGGTGGATTTATGATAGCAAGGCCATGGCAGCCGTTATGCGCCTCGCAAACATGGCAGAAAATGCTAGTTTATATGGGAAAGAACAAAATGGGCCTCTAACCCAACACGGTCCAAAGTGACCCAAGAACCCAAAAGCATACATGTCAATAGTGCTGCTATTGCGAAGGTGTGGATCGGTGGTAAGCCATGAAACACTAGCTGTCATGTTTTCTCTGTCGTGGAGGTTGTGCCCTAATCATAGACAAATTTTGACTGTGGGTGCTCGTTTTCAAAGCTTGATGGAGAAAGGGAGCAAAAATTCAATTCTGCCCTTGCTACAGGGTCGTTTGAGCCTTTTTAAGGGCAAAATGGACTTTATGCCCACTTAAAATTTTTTCCTTCTCAAGCAAGTGTCCTACATGGTACTATACCTATTCTCTCTTTCTTGCTTTGTTTTTCGTCTCTCTCTGAAGCCAACTTTTCCATCTTCACCATTTTCACCGGAGAAGACATCCTTTCCAGCTGTTTTCCAAGGACTGTGAGTGGAGGGGACATTTTTTTGCCATCTATTTTCCATTTTGCTTCTCTGTGCTATGTTTTTCTGCTTCAAAAAGTTCTCTATTTGTCACTCTCTGTGTGTCTATTTTGCTTTTTCTGGTGCTCTGTTTTTCTTCTTGAAACTGTTAGAATCACAGGAGAAAGAAGAAGAAATCTGAAATCTTTTATTCAAGAATGAAAGAATTTGTGTACAATGAGTACCCCGGAGTAAACTCCTCAGAGGCTAAATCTCTGCCACAGGTTCTGACTAACTTCCCAAAAACTGCCCCCCTCCCTAATTCCCTCTGCAATATACCATTTAGGTGATTGACAGAAAGTAACAGAACATGTCAGAGAGCAACAGAAAATAACAACTAACTCCTAACCAGACTGTTTCCGTTTTCTAGAATAGACTATCCAAGGTTTAGCTTTGGTTGGAACATTATTTACAATGATATTAGTATTAGGATCAGGAGTCACTTGACCCTGAGTCCTATCATTCCTCCCATCTAGAAAAGCAGACTTGTCCCAAGGCTGAAATAAGGAAACTGGCTCAGCAAGACTGTCTCATCTTCCCAAGTGGTATCCTCGTCAGGGCAATGTTTCCACTTGACTAACCACTGTTTGCAAACTTCCCCATTGTTGAGAATTTCTCTGGATGCTAGTGTGGACTCAGGTTCGACAGAAGCTTCTAATTCAACCTCAAACCCGATAGGAAGATTAGGAGAAACAGTATAATCTCCAATAGCTCGCTTTAACTGAGATACATGGAAAATTGGATGAACCCAAGCGGAATCCGGTAGTTGTAATTTGTAGGCCACTTCACCCAATTTCTGCAGTATTTTATAAGGTCCATAAAACCTAGCAGCAAGCTTTGGATGAATTCTTCTTGCTACTGTTTGCTGTCTGTGAGGTCTGTGTTGCAAACCCAAAAACAGAGTATAATATTTATATGGAATGAAAGAGGGAATCTTGATTGAATTGAGAAATATAGGGGAAACAATGAAAAACAGATGGGAATGAGTACCCAATCTGCTCCAGAGCCAAGCTCCTTAGAGTCACCTCAGAGAGGTCTCGATCACAAAGATGCAAAATAGAATGATACCCTCCTCTCTCTCCAAACCGATACTAAATAACCGAAAAGATAACAAAAAGCAAATATCTCACTCCACATCCCAAAATACCCCTTAACTAACAATCATGACTCAATCACCCTTCTAACATCTCTTCCTCACGTACACCTGGCCCCATCTTCCACGGTTGCCTTCATGCACTAAAGGCTCACTTGCTTCACCTTTCATGGCTGTATCAGTCTGAGTTTTCTAGAATAGACTATCCAAGGTTTAGCTTTGGTTGGAACATTATTTACAACAATATTAGTATTAGGATCAGGAGTCACTTGACCCTGAGTCCTATCACAAACATTGCTCTTTTTCTCAGTCAGTCTGCTACTTGTCAAAAGCCTGCATTCTCTTTTCCATCATTTTCCAGCCATGGTATCATAGTTGTCAATAGCAGTGGTGCGTGGCAGACCTGGTTTGCATTGGACAAATGGATGGATAGCTAAGACCTTTTATTACTGAATAAGTGACATGGATCTTGAGGATGATGAATGATCATACATTATCCATTTGAACTTTTGCTATAGTGACTTGCTGTCAATTTTTGTTTATCTTTTTGAAAGACTATATTGAATTTGAACAGTCACTTTCTTTTGTTTATGTGACTAACTTTTATGATTTAAATCCTACCTTGCTTACAAGTGTATGTCACATTATTAGCTATATACTATTTGACTTCAAAATGTTAATATATTAGATGTTTTGATGTTTCTTTATGCTACAATGCTCTTATATTTATGTTTTTAATGTTTTAAATTATTGATATTGAGCCTTATGGTTCAGGATATGATTTGATTTACAATTCAAAAAATAGGTCTTCCAATTCACAACTTGAATCCCGATTTAACTACCTTGTTTATAACCAATCTTTTCTAACTAACTAATGGACTATTTGATTGATATCTGTCCTTATTCACTCATCAATTCATACATCTTAACAGAATCATTGAGAATTAGAGGGAAACACATCTATTGCTTACACAAGCCATATTTATACTATGCCACTATAGTACAACATACATCAAGTACAAGATTACAAAGGTAATTAACAGCTTGTAACTTGAATTGTGTAACCATTGATCTAAAATCAGGCATGTCATTAATTTAAATAATTACATACATAATTTCTTTTACTATCAAGAGTAGCACAAAAGTTACCTGAAGAAACCTCATCATAAAGCATCTTTTTTATATGAGCAGAAGACGGTGAGGTAGACAAAGCTAATGTCAAGCAACCAATAGCAGCCGCCTGCTAACATGGGTCAATGTCATTAAAACACATCACTGCTTGTAAGAAAAACAAACTTTCGAATAATCAATCATAAAACTAACCAACAAACTATTCTGGTCACTTTTCAACTGAAACCCTTCTTCAATCCTTGTCCTAAGACATGTAACAACAGTAGGCAACAAATTTGGTGGCATTCGGGAGTATCTGGCAAAACAATGATTTCAGTGCACATACTAATTTTCCATATCAAGCCAGGAAATCCTCCTAATCATACTACATTTGGAACAAAAGAGGAAATAAAATCTATATAGAAATAAACTAAGAATCATATATGCTATTGGTGTTGGTGTAATCAACACAAATAAATATTTAGTGTATATTTCAAATGTTCAAGGTCGGTATCTGGATTTAATAATTTTATGCTTATTTTTTGTGTTCATTAATTCTCTTTCCAAATGGAACTTAATGACATCGTGTGATCCATATAGCCAACCTCACCCTGCGGGATAAATTTTGGTGGTTGTTTTTATTCTCTTTCCACATTTCCTAAATTTTTCACTTTACAACCATAGGACTATAAGTCACTAGGGTTATGTATGTTATGTATTTTACTCACACCATAAGTTATGTCTATATATTTCCTCCTTAACCAAATCCCGTAATTTAACATTGTATCAAAACCAACAGATTCACCTGAAGAATTGTTTTTCTTGTTTTCATTTTTGTTTGGTCTTAAACGTTATTTAGTGTGTTGTGTCATGCTGGCTGGGTTTTGGTTTAAATTTTTTGGTTCACCACACATCGTCATTTCAGCTTCATTTCACAAATTGGCTTAGTTTTATCTTCTCCTACACACTAGCTGCATTTTAGCCCATATCTTTCTACAGATTGGGTCCATTCCGGTCTGGCTGTCTCTAGTGCCATAGCAGTCTAGCTCACCCAGGTGCACTGCGGCCCATCTTCAATCCAAGCAGCAATTCAACTTGTCTTTGATCGAAGTTATCAATCCCAGATAGAGGTGCCAGTGCATAGCAGCAACCACATAACTGGATGACCACAGTTTTAAAATTTTTTTTATGAAGACATCTAATCTATATCTTTATTACATATTAATTACATGTGTAATGCTCAAAAAATATTCAAAATTCTTGACATATTAATCATCAATAAGAAGCAATAAGTCTTAATCAAAGCATTCAAGTAATACCAATAAAAAAAGGTGAAGGAAACAAAATATCTTAACTTTGCAGACAGGAAATATTAGAAAGAAAACAACAGAGAACATAAGAGAGAAAGCAGAACTGCAAATAGAGAAGAGTCAAGGTTCCATGCGCCTGAAAACAACCAGAGATGGGTTGCTCCACTGCTATGGAATGAAGTTGTCCCCACTGCAGTATATCAGATCCACAAAATCCCAGATTCTTAAATTTCAAAACACCATGCTCATCCCTCCTATCAACATATCCACACATTAAGATCTTTTCATCCATACCAAAAACAGCCTTTCATTGCACAGTTTTTGTTCATGTAAATCAGCCTCTTTGTAGCAAACTGGGTTCCAAATCCATGGAATGTATATTTCTGGGATTCTCACCAAATAACGATCCAAGATTGGTAGAGAGTGAGCTTTAAGTTTGAGTAGTTTGTTTGTCTAAAATGTCTTAGCAAATTAGACTCAGCCTCTAACCTAATACCCTTTGACTTGTTGCTAACCCACCAATTTAGGACTTTATTATCTTAGCCAACAACCAACAAATTTCACAACTCTATTGCATTTTTGTTAAAATTGCGATTAAAATTGCAGGATCGTACAATTTTACGATCTTATACCCCTTGGACAATCTTAATCGGACTTTGGGATCACTTATATGGAAGATCGGATGAGATCCCGATCTTTTCCGTCAGGATAGCATGATCTCCGATCCGATCCGATCAGGGGCAGGTTTTTTGGGTCGGTTGGGTTGGGTTTTTTGAGTTGGGCTTCTGGGGGTTGGGTTTAAACCTATTTAGGTTATTTTTTCCCAAATTTTTTTCCCACTCTCTCTTCTGTGCCACTGATGCTCTCTTCCTCGACACCCATTCTCTCTTCTCTCTTCTCTCTTCTACGCCACCAATGCTCTCTTCTTCAACACCCATTTTCTCTTCCGCAACACACATCCTTCCATTTTCTCTCTCTTCCGCAACACCCATCCTTCCATTCTCTGCATGGGTGGTTCGCGTTTTCTTTTTTGGTGTTTCTTGAGCTGCTGTTTGCCTGTTTCAATTGGTGGTTCACATTTTCTGGGTGTTTTCTATTCTCTAGATATACCGTGAGCTACTGTTTCAGTTTTGTTTTTCAGTAGAGATGAACTTTTATGACTTGTAATAAATACACCTTTCAATATAAACCTATGAGCGAGGTTAATTTAAATAAACATTTTAATAGTGTTACTACCCAAAAATAATTTTATTAAAATTAATTTTCAATTTTATTAATAATATATTATATATTAAAATAAAATAGTGTAATAAGACATTAACTTATATGTAAAATGGTATAAAATTATTTTTTCTAATAATTTTTTAAAAATTAATGAATATCATATTTTATAAAAAAATCTATTAAACATTATAAGCATCTAAGTTTCACGTATTTAACTATAAATCTAAATACTGTTAACTAGAGCTAATACTTTAATATTATTTATTGCAAAGTATTATAAGTTGGATAACTTGTTGATCTTTTTAATTTTTTAAAAAATATTCTTCTATTTATTTTCTATTATGCGTTCTCTCACCTTAGCATAAATAGTTTAACTAATTATGTGTTATATTGAATCTTAAATATAGGATTTTTAAGTTTATATTTATCTAAATTAGGTAATTTAGACATTAACTTTTTATCTATGTAATTTTCTCGGTTTATATTTTACCCCTTTTCCGATCCTAGGTAAGATCCAATCTTGACAACATTGCTCTATTGATGTAACTTTCTTTAAAAATCAACTATTCCATCCCATTGTCAAAATCCATGGCGAGGAAATTGTCACAACTGAATATCAACTTTGGGAAACTAATGTCCACCCAAGCCAACAGTCACTCCAAACAGCAAACCAACCTGCAATCCATCCAAACCACCACCTATCACAGTCCAATGACCAAACCAATCCACCAAAACCTCTCACTCAGCTGCTGGACCCTCTCATCATGATCCAATTCAATCACTAATTACATAACCAACCAAAGAACTTAGCTACACAACGAGCAGAATGCTAAAAGGGAACTAGATGACTGCCCATTCTGAAACAAAATTGAGACTACAGCCAAACATCATAGACCTTGAGATCTTCACTCAGATAACATCATCTTTACTTTTTACTCCCAGAACAGAATTTAATGATCTTGACAAACCTATTGCCTTAAGAAAAGGTGTTAATTCATGTACTCTGAATCCTGTTAGTAACCATATATCTTATGGGAAATTTTTATTTGAAAAGCCCTTGTCAGTTGTCAGTTGTCCCCACTTCGCCACCACACATCTTTTCTGGTGAATCCAGATTGGCCTCTAGACCACCAAGACATCACAAATGCATTTCTTAGTGGTAAACTGGAAGAGGTTTCCACAAAAATTCTCCCCAGACCTAAAAAACCCAAAAACTCAGGCAAGCTGTGTATGCTCAGAAACTAGTCATCAGCAATCTGTCTGTGCCCAGTTTGATACACTGACAAATGCAGTAAGGAAACATGGATTCATCAAAGTTCAATTAGATGCCACTGTTTGTCCATAAATCCTAGGAAGGGAAATCACATAAACATAAAAATCTTGGCTAGTGAGTTTGAGATAAAATCAAAGACCTAGGCAAGCTCAATATTTCTCTGGGATGGAAGTAGCAGGATCCAAATAGTACATATATCTCTCCTAAAAGAAGTAGATTGCCGTTTATTTATAACTATTCTGAATAATATCATCAACAGAAGGAAAACCTTTTCGACAAAATTTATATAAACAACATGTAGATACGATTAGATATAAAAATCCATGAATTGTTGTTCACCATCAACTAATTGGAACATCATTGATCATTTTGTTATCCTTTTGAATTTCTAATTTTTACAACTGCATTATTTTTACCCCATCGTTTCATTTTCAGATGTTTCAACTTTCAAAAATGCCCTGCCACTCATAAAATGGTTGTGATGTTAATAGAACCATTAGATAGCTGTTCAATTATACATGGAAGTTCCTGAGTTCACAAAACAGTTGATGATTTGGGTAAGTGGGTTCCCACTAATACCGTTTCCACTTTTATCCAACCTCATAATGAATTTCAAATGACAAAAAACTAATATTAATGGTTCCAACCATAAGAGCATAAGGGCATTATGAGAAACAATAACCAAAACAGAGATAATATCATACAAATTTACAGCAGGAGAGAAAAAAAAAAGGAAAAACTTAGCAATACAATACAATTACAGTTAAATGGCCATAAAGATACACTGGAAGCAGAGTAACATACGGTGTAGATAATATCACAAGCCTGAACATCTTGAATAACAAAACCAGCAATTTATGATAAGCTTCATGCTCTATTAAGTAAAGAACACCTACATCAGAGAACAAAGGAAAAAAGTGTAGAAAATAAACAAAAAATAAGTAATGAAAAGCCAAGAAGAAAAGCTCATAAGCACCATCATAAACAACCCAACTCAATAAGATACTGAAAATGTTTTAGATACCTCTATGAAGTTCCAGTAAAATCTTCCCAAGGGAGCTTGAAAGTGCCATAAAAGATCCAAATTTGCTAGATTCCTTATATTCTGCTACTTGCAAGAAAGTAGCAGAGAGACCATCCAACATGACCAGTAGCGTGGATGCAGATGCCATACGTGCCTAAATAACATAAAAAACCTTTTTCTTAGCCAACAAATCAAGAAGTCAAATTTCTATACACCTGTAGCATATGTATGTGGTAGAAAAAAAAAAAAAGGATGAGCTGAAGAGAAGTGGACTGACAAAAAGTGGTGGGCTTCATGCATTTGAAGATGGGAAGAGAAATTGGAAAAAGTAGGGAAGTGTTCCCTCAGTAGAAAATGTCAAAAAATAAAGCTATTGCAATGGTACAAGAATTTCAGTATTTATATAGAGAGTGAAGAAGGGAATTCCAGTATCATACCAGAATTTGGGCCTGAGAGGTTGAGCTCTTATTTCAAATTGGGATTGGCTCAATCTGAAATTCGGGAATCCAACTTCGCAAACCCTCCTAAGTCACTAATCAAATAATTTCAGCCTCAGAACAATTTGGATCAACTAATTTGGGTCCAAGACAAGGAGATTGTTGAGATATTGTACATAATTAGTGAGATACTATTTATTGTATTATTTCGATATCATTTGGTTGATTTGTTTTTCTCAAATGTAGAAGGAATAATATTCTCAGTTTTTATTGTATATTAATTATGAGGTCATTGGACCTATATATACATGAGCCTGCTGGTTATTTTAGGAAATATGGACAGCTAATTCGAAGGAAACAAATCCCTGTGATTATGGGATTGATTCTAAATACATAAACCTAATATTAATAGCAAGCTACAGCTGTGATAAATAATAAAATTACAGCTAGAATAAAATATAAACCTTCCTAAAATGCACAATGAGCAACACAGTTTTGAGCATTTTCAAAATTTATTGTATTATTGCTATAGTTATAACATACACACACACACACATACGCGGAGAAATGGTTGACAGCATGTTAACCCTATGCTTGATATCTAATCTTTCAGGGTAAATAGATTAGCAATACTAACAGAATAGCAATACATTGATAAGTCTTAACAAATCTCAAGTTGGTACCAGAGCTTTCTATTCAAGGGAAAACCCTAGCAAGGCTTAGCAACCAATCGAAAAGGTTATATAGCAGAATAGCACATAGCAGAATGATGCTTTTTTTTTTTCACTTTTAATATTGATATATAATCTGCACATTTGCACATAATTACACACATGTTCAAAATATACTCATTTAATGACAGAGAGATGAAAAGATGCAAAGAGAGTGAGATAGAATCGTTGGAGAAGAAAAATAGAGAATAGACACAAGGAGGGCATCCATTGACACCATGATGACAAAGAAAGGAAATAAGGGGAGACTAGGTTTTAAAAATCCAAAAAACTAGATGTTAAGGTCCAGAGACAAAATTCAAAGAGGATTATAGAAGAAAAGAGAACTTTTATTAATTACCTGCAGAACTAGGATTACAAAAGTCCCCCAGAGCAACAGCTCCTTCCAGAGAATGAAATTCTCCGTTCTCTTATTCAAAGAAAACCAAAAACTACCCCTCATAACCAAAACTGACTGCTTAAATAAAGAATAGCTAAACTAATCTAATCTTTATCTCTTCTAACAAATATATCCCAAGCTTATCTTATTCAAAATCCTAACTAACTTCCTAATAAGCTTATCTTATTCAATCACGGAAAAAATCGTAACGCAAATGGTCTTGCCAAAAAATGTCTCCTATCATCAGAAAACGTCTATACATCTTGTCGGAAATAGCTTGGCTTCATAGAAGATGAAGAAGACAACAGAGAAACATCTCTGCTCACGTTAGAAATAAGTTAGGTTTCGTTGAAATTGAAGAAGACAACCAGAATTTGGCTGAAAAATGGTGACTTGCACCAGAAAGTGATGTTAGAGATAAAGGATGAAGCAAGAGAACAAGAGGTCAAGGTAGAGACTTAGAGTTCAATCTTGACTTGCAAAGACAAAGAAGAACAAGAGATTGCAATATAAAAGGGAGGCAAAATCCCAAGATTGCCTCCCTTAAAAAGCATTCCCACTTTCAAAACGGGAGAGAAAACCTGCAAACACTCCTACAGATCCTAACTCCAAACTTCTACCAAGTCAAGAGAAGCCTCTTTCTGATCTAGAGAAGTATAGGAGACTTGTTGAGAAATTAAACTATCTAACCGTCACTCATCTAGATATATCTTTCACAATCAATGTGGTAAGTTTCTTAACTCCTCTTGTGAAGGACAATGGGTGTGATAATTTGCATTCTAAAACACATTAAAGGAGCTCCAAGAAAAGGACTCTTATATTAAGATAAGGGTTACACTCAAATTATAGGTTATTCTAATGCAGATTGGGTAGGCTTGCTTACCGATAAGAGATCCACTTCTAGCAATTGTATTATTATTGGTGGAAATTTAATTTCTTGGACAAGTAGAAACCAAGTGTAGTTTCTCAAATATTGAGTCATGATCTAAATTACATGTGAACTTATTTGGTTAAAGCAACTTCTCAAAGAACTAAAATTTGAAGAAATTATGAAAATAACACTCATTTGTAGTAATCAAACAACCTTACATATTGCCTCAAATTATGTGCTCCATGAAAGAACAAAAGATATTGAAATAGATAATCACTTCATCAAAAAGAACATTGTATCCGAAAACATCACCACTGGTTATGTCAATTTGTATGATCATCTAGCATATGTCTTCTTCACCAAATCATTGAAAAGTCCCCGTATTCAGTGTTGTCAAGATTGCGATCTTAATCGTGAGATCGCACGATTTTGCGATCTTGCTCAACATCCACGATCTAGATCGCAAACAAGATCAGGGTCAGTCAAGATCGCTGGGGATTGCAATCTTTTCCTGTAAGATTGTGGGATAATCGATCCGATCCGATCCTGGTGTTGGAATCGGATATGATGACTCAGTTAAAAAATACCCTTTTCCCATTAATTTTTGACCCACTTATACTACTGAACCCTATCGCATGCAGTGACCAAACTCTGTCTGCGTTGTCTTCGTGTTTGTTCTTCTGTGTGGGTGGCTCTGTAATGGGTTCTTCTGCGTGGGTGGTTCACACTCTCTGGGCATGCTTCTGCGTGGGTAGTGTAGTCTATATTCTCTAGGCGTTGTGTTCACGTTCCTTGGACGTGGGTGTTTCACCTTTTCTGTTTTGGTGTTTCTGCGTAGGTAGTCTACACTCTCTGGTCATGCTTCTGCTGTTTGCCTTTTCTGTTTGGTGTTTCTGCGTGGGTATTCTCTAGATATACCGTGAGCCACTGTTTCAGTTTTGTTTCCCATTTGGCAGTAGAGAGGAATTTTTATGTCTTGTTATAAATACACCTTTCAATATAAATCTATGAGTGAGGTTAATTTAAATAAATATTTAATAGTGTTACTACCTAAAAATAATTTTATTAAAATTAATTTTTAACTTTATTAATAATATATTATATATTAAAATAAAATAATGTAATAAGATATTAACTTATATGTAAAATGGTATAAAATTAATTTTTCTAATAATGTTTTAAAAATTAATGAATATCATATTTTATAAAAATATCTATTAAACATTATAAGCATCTAAGTTTCACTTATTTAACTATAAATCTAAAGACTGTTAACTAGAGCTAATACTTCAGTATTATTTATTGCAAAGTACTATAAGTTGGATAACTTGTTAATCTTTTTTATTTTTAAAAAAATATTCTTCTTTTTATTTTCTATTATGTGTTTTCTCACCTCAGCATGAATAGTTTAACTAATTATGTGTTATATTGAATCTTAAATTTAGGATTTTTAAGTTTATATTTAACTAAACTAGGTAATTTAGACATTAACTTTTTATCTATGTAATTTTTTCTGGTTATATATGTTTTAAGTATAATTTTACATATTCAGTAGGATCTTACGATACCACGATTTACAATTTTTTACCCCTCTTCCGATCTTAGGTAAGATCTCAATCTTGACAACATTGCCCGTATTAGTTATATATGGGACAAGTTTGTTGCATATGACCTATATGATTCAGCTTGAGCAAGAGTGTTAAATATAATTATATATATATATATATATAAGGACAGTTTATCTTTGTAATTATGATAATAAGATAACTCAATGTAATGTAAATATTCTGCAATTATTACTATTATCGATATAAATATATACTCCATTGTCTAGTCGAAACACACATTCATTCACATGTTCTCTCACTTCTCTCTCTTTCAACAAGAGTCATTGGAAACTTGTAAAAAAGATCTCTAGATACCTGCAGGGTACCATCTGCTATAGTCTGTATTTTAGACCAGCATCAATCACAGCTTGCCTATGCATTCAAGGCTTTTGTGATGTTGACTGGGCTTCTAATCCCAATGGCAGGATACTACATCTAGCTCCTGCATCTATCTTGGAACTAATCCATCTACTCTCATGGTGGTCAAGAAAACAAATTCCATGTGATTGATTCACTTTCAATTAATCAACCATCTTGAGTTTGAGGGGACAATGTTAGTTATGATTAAATAGCTTTCAGCTTTTTTTGTAATCAGATTCAAGTTTGTTGTAACAGCTGTAAATAACTCAGTTACAGACTGCACTAGTAGAGTACCTCTATCCTAACCATATATGTATACATAAACCTGTATTCCTCAGGTTCAGTGTAATGACAATCAGAATTATTCATTGTCAAAATAGTTCCCTCTCTCCTTTCTCTATTTCTCTCCCTCAGAAATGGAATTCTAACAGATCTTGATAGGAATGAAAGTGAAGATCACTTCCAATGTTGCTGCATGTCACATTTGCCAACGTAGCAAGTATATCAAGCTTCTTCTCCAAAAGGACTCCTACAACCAATACTACCTATTCCCAATGAGATTTGGGAATAGTTCAATTTAGATTTAATTGTTGGATAGCCTAAGAATAGAGGCTACGATACTGTCCTAGTAATTATGGATTGGCTGCGCAAGTATGGTCACTTTATTCCAATTAAACACCCTTCTTCAGCTCGTACAATCTCAGAAATCTTTTGTAGGGAGATTGTTAGATTACATGAGATACCAATATGCATTGTTAGCAATTGAGAACATACGTTTATGAGCTCATCTTGGACAGAACAGTTCAGATTGCAAGGTCAGTGTCCTACATATGAACTGCAAATCACCAGTCTGATGGTCTGAAAGAGATGCTAAACCACACTTTGGAGACATGTTTGCAAAGCTTCATTTTAGAATTGTCAAAAGCTTGGCTGATATTCCTTCAATGAGAAGAATATTGATATAATACCTCATTCCATGATTCTGCTCAGCATTTCCCTTTTGAAGTAGTTTATGGATAACCCCCTCCTTCACTTTCTAAACTTGTACTAGGACTAGGAGAAACCTTGGTAGAGGCAGTATCTCAAGAGCTGCAAGATCATGATGAGGCTCTTAAAAAGTTGAAATTCCACCTATCAAGACCAAGCATTATATGAAACAGTTTGCTGACAAACACCAACACCCCACCACTATCCAACCTTGAGAATTGGTCTTGAAAATATGAGAAGATAAACAAGTTCCTATGCCTGCACAGCTGAATACTAAGCCATCAGCACAATATTACAAACCCTACTTAATCACTAAACAAATTGGTGCAGTAGCCTTTAAGCTCCAATTGCCTAAGAAATCTTGTATACATCCTATCTTTCATATGTCACAGCTGAAAAAGCTATAGGTACCCACAACCACAAGACAACCATTCCTGCTGAATTAGAAGTAGAGCCACTTCTATATCAGCCAGAGAAAATACTGACCACTTGCTTAGTGGTCAAACACAGAGATTCAACAGATCAAGTGATGGTCCAATGAGCATCTCACCCTTTGGAGGCGGGTACCTGCGAAGATGCCAACCTCATTAGGTCCCAATTTCCAGATTTTTAGTGTTATGGACAAGTCTCCATTTCAGGAGGGAGGTATCGTAAGGAACCAGCCAAATAAGATTGGATCTTGGAGATACTGTGTATACACAGGAATAATTTGTAAGTTAGTTAAGGGATCATAGTCTCAATTGAGAATATAAATAGGGGAGGGATTGTAATTGAAAGCATATCTTTTAAATATCAATGAACACAACCATATTTCTGTCAAGCCTAGGGAGAGGCACTCCCTATTCTCCCTTATTTTAATTTCTCTTTGTCCCTGTCTTTAGATGCACTGCAGTTTTGCTATTCCTGCTATTTGTTCAGTTTTTGTCCCAAAAGTCGTTAACAGACACCTAACAGACCAATAAAGTTCAAAATAGTAAACAGTTTGGGAAACACTAGAATCAACATCAGTGTCATTACCTTTAAACAAGGATCAAATAGCAAGCATGTCATTAAAGTTGCATCACACATCCTATGAAAATGCAAATTAGGCAAATATGCAGTTAGAAAACAACAAAATGTCAAATGGAGAGAAAGATCATAGTAAAAGTTTGAATTCATAGGAGAAGCAATGATCTGACCATACCTAGGTTGTAGTACATCACTCGTTGGCAAAAGCAAGGACCATTGCATGGATAAAGATTTAGAATCAGCTTGACAAAGATCCTTCCAATGAAAAACAAATAAAAATAAATAAATAGGTCAATCAATTACTGCATACAAAGCTTTTGTCATAGTGATTGTTACCCAACCAAGGAAAAATAAGCAAGATAAGAATTTATCTCATCCTCATGAATTATTGAGGCAGGAAAGGGTAACAAAAAAACAGCAAGTTTGGAATATGTTTCTTTTGCTAAAGAAAACATTTGGAATTTGAAATTGGTTCTCTTACCAAATGAAAATATTTGGAATCTTTAAAGGAAACAATTTCCTTGTGCAATCAAAAATGATTCTAACTGCTTTTATCATTTTCTTCAATTGTAAAACTGATTAATTCAAACACCTAAAGGAGTTTTACTCCATTTATGTACAAGCAAAGATTGGTAAGTTGTACGTTGATATGATCCAAGAAAGAGAATAAGCCTTAGACCAAGCATTGGATGAAAAGAACCAAGGCTTTTGTAAGTTGTACAGTTTGAAGATGGTTCTTGTATTGTAAATTGGTTATTGGCACACCTATTTGCTTGAATTTTCTGATTCAATTGATTGTATTTGTTCAATGATCTTGATGTGACCAATGAAATCCATTTCTAGTTTAGTTTGAATTTTAATGCATGTAATTAAGTTCAGATCTAATTAGGAGTGTTTAGCAAGTATTAGTTTTGCTTAGTTAGGACCAGCATAGGCACCAATTCTGAGTAGGTTTGGCCCATGCTTGGTGCCACTTCTCCTTTCTATATAACGCTTGTATTGCAAACAATTGAACACTTTGGGTCATTTGATGAACGAATTTAGATTTATTGAGTTGAGCTTAGTCTCATAATAAACCTCTAATTACATATCAATGGAAAAGGGAACGTGGGTCAAATCATAACATCAACTGATTTTCAATATTTAACTGCAGAAGTTATTTTTTCATATACATTGTTTCAATTGTTCCTATTGAGTAGGGGTTTATGGTGTATGTCACGTAGTGGTCCAGCTTAGTGCTTTGTTGCAGTTATTTTTAAGTTAAAATAATTATAACGAGGCCCACTACTCCAGTTTTCAGAGTCAGTTAATTAGCTTTTAGGAAGTCAAGTTGTAACCTTTCGTCTATATATGTTCCTTGTTCAGCTTTGTTGATTCTTGTAGTTTGACTTTAGATGTTAAATAATTACTTGATTGAAGGATTCATATGCTTGTCCACATTATGTTCTTCTTGAGATTCCATCACAAGAAGTGAGTTCAAAATAGTGTTCTAGCATTTTTCTAGTCAATTATATTTGTATCAAGTTGGGTATAGTTAACATCTATTCACTAATTTATGGGGATTGTTAAGAACTAATTGTATATAAATATACATACCTACACCAATTTGATCCAAGGCTGCCAAAACTATTAAATACAACCAAAGCAATGAGATAACGGGGAAGATGATGATAAAAAGGTAAATGTAATTTACAGTAGTATGGAAATAGGTTAAAAAATGGTTCTAAGTTCTTGAAAACTACATTATCACCAATTCATTACTCTCCATCCTAGTCTCTTGACAAAACAGTCAATTTAAATTTTTGGCAACGCTAACAGCAGTCACATGAAAGTTTTGGAATTTACCTGTATGCAAGTTATGGCGGCTACTCTAATCCTAGAGTTCTTCACTCTGCCACTATCCTTAGCTGATCCATCTCCATCACTAAAATCTGAATCTGAAGATGTAAGAATAATAGAAGATTCATTATCTGAGATATATTGGGAATGCCCAGCTCTATTGTGCTTCACATTTAAGCAGTCCCTTTTGCGCAAGTGTGGAGGCCTATATGTGCCATGATCTGATTTGTTCAGTTGTATCGAGCTTGCCCTGGGACTCATATTATTTGGCGCCTTCTCCTCATGACCAACAAGCAAAAGACTACCACCTGGTGCTCTACCAGAAAGGCCATAAATTAAGAACATTCGCAGAACAGAAACAAAAACTGACACCTACAAAAAAAGACCCAAGTATCACAATGATTAGGGGTAACACATTTCTTTATTCTCTGTATTAATACAAAAATTTCTCAACTTACATGATCGGAAATAGAACATTTAGGATCAACAAGGATCAGATGCAGACAGCACATAAAAGATTCATAAAACCTACAGAATAGATGGGTCAGTGGCTTGTTACGAGCATATGGCCGAAGAATGAATATCTTAAGTGTTTCAAAATTTCCTTCTACTCAGTTCCTCCAAAATGCAGGTTACCTGGACATAACACTATCTTCCACAACTGGGGTTTTTAATGCCAAGACATCCATTGTTTTTCTGAAAACCTATTTCAGAACAAACCATTTAAAACTTTTATCTTGAATTAATATACAGTTATACAAAAACAAAAACAAAAATCAAAAGTATTGTATACCTCAAGAATTGATCTCCAGATATCAACTGGGAAGGATGACCCAGCTCTTGAGATTGCTTCACTAAGCATCTCAAAAGCCAATGTCTGTAATTCGCTTGAACTTCTTTCCGTGGAAAATCTCGTATTAATTGCAGTAGATTTTTCTTTACACACTGAACGAGGTATCCAACATGACATACCATGAGAGCTAACAATTACATCAAGTAGAAATTTAACCAGTATAGTATCTTCAGACTGCAACCATCTTCGATGAGATAAAGTAATAATGCATCTGGAGAGGGAGCAGATTTTGTTCAGTGTAAAGTAGAAAGGTATTAATGGTAAAAGCATCACAAAATCGAAACATATTAATAGTAAAAACTCAAATTTGAATAGCATTGACCCCTGTTAGAATCTATTAGAATCTTGTAAATATAGTAATTGTATATTTTGTAATTATTTACTCTTTTCTATAAATTGGAATAACTCCGCTATGCCCTAAACACACGAATTCAATATTTTCTCTCTCAACATGGTATCTAGAGCCTAGAGAGGCAACCCTAATCCTTCTTTTTTTCCCGGTGGACCCACTGTTCACCGGTGCCTTTTTTTCCGCCGCCGCCGCCACTGTTCCGCCACCGCCGCCGCCGTCTGACCTCCGGTCACTACGGAAACCCTGCCGTCGTGATCACCCTTGTTAGACCGACCGAACCCCGCTGACCGCGCCTTCATCGGAGCCCTCACGCGCCCCACGTATTGCCTTCTCCTCAGGCGGTTTTCTCACGCGCCGCCTTCTCTCTCCACGCGTGACGGCGCGTCTGGGGTCTGTTCCTGACACCGTCGATTGGGGTTTGCTCGCCCCTCTCTCCTCTATCTGTGTCCGGTCTCGGTTTGCAGTTTGGACATTTACTCTCTCTTGTTTTGCCCTTTTTCACTGCTGTTTGGGCATTTTCTCTCTCTTCTCGCTGACCAATGGCTGCCTCTAGCACTCCAAAAGCTGATACCCAGATTTTTACCAACCATGTCACTGCTCCTCTTTCTTCTGAGCAATTGAACGGTAAGCACTACTCCTCCTGGGCTTCTCACATTGAACTTTGACTTGTTGGACAGGGTTATGAGACACATCTCACCCAAACAGCAGATGATGTCCCGGAGGCCGACTGTCCTCTGTGGAAAAAGGTTGACGCTCAACTGTGCTGTATCATCCGAGCCATCATTCACCCATCTCTTCGTGATGTCTTTTGCACTCACAAAACTTGCAAGGCTGTTTGGACACAAGCCCAATAACTCTTTACAAACAATTCTCGGCGACTCTACCAAGTTTGTGAAGACCTCATGACTATCCTTAGTGCCCATCAGATTAAGGATTCTATGTTGACCTATCTTGGCTCGGTATCAAGCCTTCTTTGTGAGTTCAACGAATTGCTTCCACCTACTGCCACTCCAGATGCAGAACTTGACAATCGCAAGAAGTTTTTCATGTCCTTGGCTTTATACGGTCTACCACCAGAATATTCTCATGTTTGTGATCAGATTCTGGGGAGCCTCACAGAAGCTAATATGGATAGTACTTGGGCGACCCTCCTCCGTGTGCCCCCCAAATCTTCCTCTAAGCCTTTGCTTCCCATTCCAATTGACTCTTCGGCTTTGGTTTCTCGCAACACCAACCGACCTCCACAACGCAAGGGCAGCAAAGGACGTCCCTGGTGTGATCATTGCCACCGCCCGGGACACACAATTGATAAGTGTTGGACTCTACATGGTCGACCTCCTCGCACTGCCCAGGTGGCCCAAAGTTCTGTGTCTCCTTCATCCACTTTTGCTCCGTCATTGGCTCCGGATCCACATCCATCACCTTCCTATAACGATTTCCTGAAATGGTATGACGATCGTCAGGCCTCTGGTTCTACTGCTGCTGTTGCACACACTGGTAATTTCTTCGTTGGTCTCTCTCACTCTTCAGGCCCTTGGGTCCTTGACTCTGAGGCCACCAATCATATCACTGGTAATAAATCTCTTTTTTCTTCTCTTTCTACTTCTGGTTATTTACCTTCTGTCACCATGGCAAATGGGTCTCAAACTTAATTCCAAGGTGTTGGTATTATTCATCCTCTTCCTTCTCTTTCTATTAACAATGTCCTTTATGTCCCTGGAGCACCCTTATTATCCATTAGTCAACTTACTAGGTCTCTTGATTGTGTCATATCTTTTACTAAAAATTCTGTTTCCCTACAGGACCGGATTACGGGGAGGACGATTGGCTCCGGATGTGAGTCTCATGGTCTCTATCAGCTCAACAAGCCCTCTCTTGTTGGTTCAATAGCAGCATCTCCACTTCTAATTCATGCTCGATTAGGACATCCAGGTCTTGATAAGTTAAAACAGCTATACCCTAGTCTTTTTAAGTCAGAGTCTTTGTCTTGTGAGTCATGTCAATTAGGCAAACATGTTCGTCATTCTTTTTCTTGTCGCATTATGAGTCGGGCTTTGTCCCCTTTTGTTTTAGTTCATTCAAATGTTTGGGGTCCAAGTCGTACTTCCTCTACATTAGGATCTAGGTATTTTGTCACTTTTATAGATGATTTTTACCGTTGTACTTCGTTATACTTAATGAAAGAACGTTTTGAAATTTTTTCAATTTTTCAGTCTTTTTTTAATGAAATAAAAAATCAATTTGGTATCCCTATTCGAACTTTACAAAGTGATAATGCCCGTGAATATTTGTCTACTCAGTTTCAGACCTTTATAACATCGCATGGTGTGTTACACCAAACATCTTATCCTCATACCCCCCAACAGAATAGAGTTGCAGAATGCAAAAATAGGCATCTATTTGAGACCACCGGGACTCTTCTTCTCCACTCTCATGTTCCTCATCAATTTTGGGGTGATGCGGTACTTACTGCATGTTATCTCATTAACCGCATGCCTTCCTCTGTTTTACAAGGTAAAATTCCTCATCAAGTTCTATACCCCCACCACTCTTTTCATCCTTTACCCCCTCGTGTCTTTGGTTCTACATATTTTGCTCATGCTCTTGGTCCCGGCATTGACAAGCTCTCTCCTCGGTCTCATAAGTATGTTTTTCTCGGGTACCCACGATCTCAAAAAGGATACAAGTGTTATTCCTCTACTCTTCGCAAGTATTTCATTTCTGCTGATGTTACTTTTTTCAAGAGTCTTCCCCATCCACAACTGCCCCTAGTTCAATCCTTTTCTGTCCTCCAGAAGCGTCTCCATCCCCTCCACTCCCATCTCCTCCACCTTTGCAGGCATATCAGCGTCGTACTCGTCCTGTTTTGGAGCCACCGAGTACTGACAACATCATAGACTCACCTTTGGAGCCACCTCTTTCGCCTCATCTTCCGGTCCCGCCTTCTGAATCTGACATTTCCATTGCCATTCGAAAAGTTATACGTTCTACTCGTAATCCTTCTCCTCATTATATTTCTTTAAGTTATCATCGTCTTTCTCCTTCCTATTATTCTTGTCTTTCTTCCTTAACCTCTGTTTCTATTCCTAAGAGTGCAGGTGATGCATTTTCCCATCCCGGGTGGAAACAAGCTATGCTGGACGAAATGTGTGCATTACAGAACAGTGGGACTTGGACCCCGTTCCTCTACCACCAAGGAAGTCAGTTGTTGGCTGTCGGTGGGTGTATACAGTCTAGGTTGGTCCAGATGGCAAGGTTGACCGGCTTAAGGCCTGTCTCGTCGCCAAAGGCTATACTCAAATCTTCAGGTTGGATTATGGCCTCTCTATCAGTTGGATATTAAGAATGCTTTCTTACATGGTGATTTGCTCGAGGAAGTCTACATGGAGCAACCGCCTTGCTTTGTTGCTCAGGGGGAGTCCTCTGGTCTTTTATGTCGATTGCGAAAGTCTTTATATGGCCTCAAGCAGTCACTCAGAGCATGGTTCAGCAGATTCACTACTGTGATTCAACAGTTTGGCATGACTCGGAGTGAGGCTGACCATTCTGTCTTCTATCGTCACTCTCCTACCGGTTGCATCTACTTGGTAGTTTATGTTGATGACATTGTCATCACAGGTAGTGACCATCAAGGCATTGTATAGGTGAAGCAACATCTCTTCAAACATTTTCAGACAAAGGATCTTGGCAAACTCAAATATATTTTTGGGAATAGAAGTAGCACAGTCTAAAAATGGGATCATCATTTCCTAAAGGAAGTATGCAATGGATATTTTGGAAGAAACAGCAATGTTAACTTCCAAGCCAGTCGACACTCCCATGGATCCCAATGTTAAGCTCTTGCCAAATCAGGGGGAGCCTCTTCTAGATCCTGAAAGGTACAGACAATTAGTAGAAAAACTAAACTATCTCATTGTTACCCGTCCAGATATCTCATTCGTAGTGAGTGTAGTAAGTCAATTCCTCAACTCTCCATGTAAGTAACATTGGGATGCAGTGATTCGCATTGTTTGATACATCAAAGGAGCTCCAGGAAAGAGTCTTTTGTATGAAGACAAAGGACACACTCGAGTTGTGGGATATTCTAATGCAGATTGGACAGGATCTCCCGTAGATAGAAGGTCCACCTCTGGATTCTGTATATTTGTCGGAGATAATCTTGTCTCTTAGAAAAGTAAGAAGCAGAATGTTTTAGCCCGGTCGAGTGCGGAAGCGGAGTATCGAGCTATGGCTATAGCGAGTCAGGAGCTTATATGGCTCAAACAGTTGCTTCAAGAATTAAAGTTCGAAGAGGTCACACATATGTCACTTATATGTGATAATCAAGCTGCTATGCATATTGCCTCAAATCCAGTATTTCATGAGAGAACAAAGCACATTGAAGTTGATTGTCACTTTGTCAGAGAGAAAGTCATGTCCAGAGAAATATCTACTAGTTTTGTCTTGTCAATTCCCATGACCAACTAGCAAACATCTTTACTAAGTCACTAAGGGGTCCTCGGATTAATTACATATGTAAGAAGCTTGGTGCATATAACCTATATGCTCCAACTTGAAAGGGAGTGTTAGAATCTATTAGAATCTTATAAATATAGTAACTGTATATTTTGTAATTATTTACTCTTCTCTATAAATTGGAATAACTTCACTATGCCCTAAACACACGGATTCAATATTTTCTCTCTCAACAACCCCTTTCAAGTAATAGAGGTCAAAAATATTATTCCATAACCAGTATTTGCCCATTCGTATTAAAACATTAAAATGACAAGAACATGCAAAAATACAGATATCATCATGATACCTCGAAAATTCCAAAATACAGAAGCATACTCAAATGATAAAGATATATTAATTGATAAATTATCATTTAAAATTTAAAAACCTTCAAGAAAATAAACCCATAAGAAAAGGTCTAGAGCAAAAAAAAATTACATATGGGCAAGATTGCGTTATGCGTCAATTCTTTTCAGGAAAAATGAAAGTACCTGATAGACTGTAAGCACTCGATAGCGGGAACCATTGCAGCAGTACAGTAAATTCCGGTTAACTCGTCCCCAGTAGCTATTTTTGCAAGAAAAAGATGAAAAATCTTCCCGAAACAACTGAGAATATTACTAAACGAGGAGAAATTTATATCGAACGAAACCCGGCGACATATATCATGAATCTGCCATTTCATAAATCAATTCATAAAAAGATTTCTAAAAAATTGATAATACATTAAAATGAAAAGAGCCAATTAAACAAAAGCAAACACGGTACCAAGCGTGATGTCTGTGTATAGATATGAGTACACTCTTTTTCCTCAAAAGAGGTCGCAGCAACCAAATCCATCATAAACAAAATGTCCGAAAAAACCTTCGAGAAAAATTTAAACAACAATTATAACAAACGAGAAGAGAGCGAAGAATCCACCAAAAATTTATGCGTTTGAGAAGATACCTCGTGAGAAGGAAGTTCAAGAGCGGCAGACACCAAAGAGTTAGAATGGGAGAAAATGAGATTATCAAGCATTTGAGCCGTAGAATTACGCAAAGGGATAGTTAGGGTTTCATCCCTCAGCGTCAAAAAGGAAGTCCTCCACGACCTAACCAATGGCGTCGGTGCCGTTGAACAAAATCCAGTTCCCGCCATTCAAGAAATAGCAATCACTACACAGTGCTTTATAGCTTTTAGTAATCACTCATGCCTTGCTTGCCAATCGATTCAGCAGAAACCTGTGAGCCTCATGCCATTGCAGTCCAAAGCGAAGAGCAAATTGTTAACGCCATCTGAAGCCTTGTTTCAGTTCCAATAATTTAAACAACATCTTTTTTTTTTTTTAATGACTTTCGCATGGCTCAATTATATTTTTGTATTGTTTTCCTATATTTTTAGTATTTTTAATTTATTTAAAAAAAATCAAAATGTATTTAATTTTTAAATTTTTTTCATCTAAAATCTATGAATTTTAATTGTTTTTACTTAAACTTTTTACAAACTAATTTATTAAATTATTTTTTATTTAAAAATTATTAATTAAAAATATTTAATTACACCTAAAATAAAATAACTAAAATTTATCATCTTCAAAATATCATATAAAATCATCTAAAATTTTTTAAATATTTTTAACAATATATGTGTTGGAACATAAAAATAAGAAAATATTAAATTTTAAGTTAGATGATTTTTATTAATATTAAGAGAGTGTGTTTGTCCTTTAATTGTCTATAAAAGATTATTGAAAAATGTTTTGACTGTTCTTAAATGATAAAATGTATTATTAATGAAAAGTAATAAAAGGAATTAGTGTAAATATTTAAGAATTGCTGAGAAAAGAGAATGTGAGTAAAAGAAAAAGGATGACTAACATATGCACTTTAAATACATCAAATGGTATGATTATAATATATGTGTTATAATACATTGACAAGTACGATTATAATACATATGTTGTACATATTAATTAATGTGATTATAACATACTTATTACAACAATATTAATTGGCATAAATAGATCTTAGTGTATGTTAATATTAAGTTCCTATATGAATAGTTATAGACACACTAAAGATATAGAATTTGGAGTCGATTATGTAAGTCTAAAGGTAATGAGGGTCGTGAGTATTATTCACTAATATATTTCCTTCATACAAATTTTCTGTTTATATAGAAATTGTAAAGATTCCTTACAAAAAATGCTCTTATAATTTTAATAATTATGTCAGACCCTTCACTATGGAAAGATATTTTGTTGATACTTTTTTTTATTGTTTGATAGTGCTTCTACTATAGTTGGATTCCATTTTACAGTTGTTTTTCCTATTGCAAGATGCTACTAACACTTTTACTTTATTGCAAAGGTAAAAATATGTCAAAATTGTCATTTCCATTGTTAAAGAAGTCATTAAGAGTGCTTTCCACCTCTTTTTCGCTTTTGTTGTAAATTTTTATATTATTTTGCTGTACTTAGTACTTCAATAAGTCAATTTTTTATTACAAAAATACCCATGCTTGTATAGAATATGAAGTTAGTTTTGATGCTCTTGTATTGTTGCTATTAAATTGAATTTGATGTCCTTTGAATGATAGAATTCATTTATTTATTAGCTCTTTGTAGTAAAGTAATATTGAATTTATTTCACCATTTAATTTTTATAGGTTTTGTTAATGTCAGCCTTTAGGCTAAGGATAAACAACTAATAATAGTAAAATTTTATTAAAAAGAAAATTATTTATTATATTTTTATAACTTCAATACAACAACTTTGTATTTTTTTCATAAAATTTTTCTAATTGTCGATGCTTAACTCAATTTTAAAGGTTGAGGTTAACAAAACTCAATTTTTATTACTTGAATAAGATATTGAATAGTTTCATTGTTAAGTACTTTTGCTAAATTATACTCTAAGAGGTAATTCAAACTATGCCTTGGTTGGAAAAATAAGAAATCAATTGTACAAAATTTAAACACAAATCACTTTATTTTAATCAAAATCAATTAAAGTTGTAAAATTAACATCATTAAAAATCAAATTTATAAACACTCATCCAAATATATCATTACTTAGCCTGAGTTGGTGCTTTAGCACAATGGTAGAAATGTACGGAGTTTATTTTGATTGACCATATAATCCAACTATTCACCATTAATTGTTTCTTTGAAGTCAAATTGACTATATAATAGCCAGCAAAATTACCAGCCAAAGCTTCTTAATTTTTTATCCCACAACTAAACCATAACTATGACTATAATTATCCAATAATTGGGTGTAAGAGGAGGAGCAGAAAAACCTAACAAAAAATTTAGAACCCTTTATGCTCCCTCTTCATTATCAACTTAAACGCTATGCTCCTTCTTCATTATCAGTTTAAACGTTATCCTTCTCCATAAGTTCCACAAATTAGGATCTCCCTATGTTTAATTGATCTTGGGCCATCTCTCTCTCTTCAATTGGTACAAACAACTCAAATTGAAGCAATGCTTGAATTAATCCCAAACTTAAAGTTGAGTTTTGAACTTAATTGTATGGGTTTATGTGATCATTGCAAAGCGGTTAGTTGAGACTTGAATCATATTTGTATGTATGTGTTCACTGTAATTTAATTCTCAAAAACTATTAATTACATGCACCAACACCTTTTCATTTGTGACTTGCAAGTCGTTCTTCGTTCACACCTTATGATAGGCCCTTCTTGATCTAAAGTCATTGATAAATTGATAAGCAATTAATTAATTGTTTGAGTAATTAGTCTTCTTGTTTCGAATTTGTAATAATGTTTAGTATACTTGATAGGGTACTCCTTGGTCCTATCCACCCCTCAGATCTACTTGTACGAAAAGGTAACCGAATACCCCTTTGGCTTAACATAGTCAGATACCCCATGTTAGAATTAAAAGGTAATTAATTCAATCAGCAGTAATTAACATATCATCATCTACCTTAATTAAAGGGCCAAAAATTAGGCTGACTCAGCAAACCCATTAGCCCATAACAATACCTATAAAGGAAGGTAGGAAGTATAGGTAAAGGATTGACTTTTCATTATTAAATAGCATTTATTGCTCAGAATCGAATCCTGACTTCAACATCGGAGTGCCTTTTGCAGGTACCCTCCCCACGTCAAGTAATGTTAGCAAGATACAAAAAGACGTCACCCTATTCAAGCAGAGACTTGAAGACTAGTGTTTCCCGAACAGGAACATTTTGGCGCCCACCGTGAGGCACGAATAGCCTCACTTTTTCAGTCATCATGGTACTAACAAGAAGCCAATAAGAGGGACAGAATTATCAAGGACGAACTTCTTGTCAACAGGAAGAGGTTATGTAACGCCCCGATTTTCGTAGCCTAATTGTTATCTGATAGAGTCGTGAATTTCTCGCAGTTCTGACCTGCCACTGTCGGAATAGATAGTTAGATATTAGACTCGAATCGATCGTCTCAATTCGTAGAGAGCCCTGCATTTTAGAATGACTGCATGCATGATACTCGGTCCCGACATCGTCCAATAATCCCTAATCTTGTTCCATTGTGAATTTCGAGAAAATGCTTTGAAAATTGTGCCAAAAAGTGTTTTTACCTTTACTTTTAAAAAAAAGTGACTTTTGCCTCAAAAGACGTGCAAAGTTAGTAATGATTACTTAGATTTTGCCATAATTACTTGGATCCTGTAATGATTACACTTTTCGCCGTAATCATTACTTAGTCGTCGCAATGATTGCACTTTTTCATCGTAGTCAGTGCCAAGCCGCTACAATCATTGCGCCGAATCTTCCAAAATCTATTTCTGGCCAATAGAATTTCATGCAAGTGTCTCGTTTTCTGATTCGAGGACGCCTTGAAATTTGAAACTTCCTTTTGTGTTTTTCGAGGAGCCGCCATTATAAATTTTACCTTTTTCGGAATTTGTACCAAGTCTCGTCGCATTTATGACGACCAATCACATTGCATGCAATCTTAGTTTTAGAAAATCCATGCAACCTAAAAGTTTGAACCTTTGAACCGCGTGCGTGATCTTGTACTAACCTAGGCCAATTTCCATTTTTGGTAGCTGAAAATTCCACACTTGTTTCTTGCCGAATTTGTTCATTCAACTTTATTTTGTTAAAATCGTGTGCATAGCTTCATGGAATCCTATCCCTAGTTTTCATTGGCTGGCCGAAAATTTCATGCTTGATTCTTGTCACTTTGCACACAAAATTAACACATTTCTCCTTGCTTTTGGAAGCTAGAATCCGTGAGGATGGTTTCAAATATTCACAAGTCCCTAAATTACTATTCTCCTTGAAAGTTTGCACCCAATATTCCCTTGGACTCCTCACCCTTCACGTCCACTTTTGCACCATGGGAAACATGCAAATTTAGAAGCACACTAAACCAATTTCAGCAAGCAAAGATAACCCAATTGGCCACCCAAAACGGTGAGCACTTCTTCCTCACTTTGCATCCATCACACCACCAAACACATGCAACTTTCTCTCAATCTCACCCATTCTCTCAAAGACTAAGCCGAGAGCCACCATCCTCTCAAGCACTCTTTTCCCTTCCTTTTCTCAAGGCAAAAACCGAGAGGACCAACCCTTCCAAGTTCCTCCATTTTCGTGCAAATCTCTCAAGGTAAGCCGAGATTCCTTTCCCTTTCTTTTTCGTTCAAGCCTTGGGAGTTTTGTCCAAGAGTTCATCTTTTCATTCCCTTGAGTTTGGTGGTTTCAAAGGACATTTTTGGTGGAGAATTTTGGAGTCTTTGGTGCAACCTTTTCTCGGATTCAGCTTTGCACTTGAAGATCTTGGAGTTCAAGCCTTTTCTTCATCCATTTTTCACGTCTAAAACAAGGCAAGGGGGAGTTCTCACCTTGCTTCAATTTATTTGCCATTTTCTTTGTGTTTTTCGTGATTGTACCATGAAAGCTCTATACTTTGCCTCTTGGAAATCTTTGGTGATGTGAATGAATCCTTGAATGATGGTTTTGGAATTTTCTTGCCTCAAAGTCCTAGTCTTTACCCTTGCATGTAAATTTACCCTTAAAAGTTGCAATTTTTATGATTGCATGCCCATTTCTCTTTGAACCTTGTCTCAGTTTTTGACTTGTACCTTGCTGAAATTTTATTTAGAATGCTTCCAATACTTGAAATGGTGATTCGAAAGTGTGTGCGTCCATGGCAACCCTTGCATGTTGTTTTCCATTTGGAAAGTCTTGATTTTTCCTCTTGCATGTGTTAGATCTTCAAAAAGTTTCCATTTGTTGGCCTTGCACGTTGATTTCATATAGTGGGTGCCTCGATTTTGATCTCTTTGTGCTTGCATTCTTGTTTAAA